TCTTGTCAGTCACTCCTTTGACGTATGGTAAATAAACAGGTTGTCTGTCTACTCTGTGTCTCTGGTGTCTTAGTTTGTGTCTTGATGGAAAATGTCCCTGGTATCCATTACTCTGTAAGACTCGTCGTACATGCTCCAACTCTTCTTGAAGATGTTCCTCATCACACAGGTCATATGCACGGTTCGTCAGTGAAGTCATTACAGAGTTAAGATGTTTAGGGTGGTGATGCGAGGAGGCGTTGAGATAGCGGTCAGTGTGTGTTGATTTGCGGTAAATGGAATGACCAAGCGAACCGTCATTCCTCACCCGAATCTTAACGTCCAGAAAGGCCAGACTTCTGTCTTCTTCGATCTCATAGGTAAAGTTGATTTTAGAATGGATACCATTTAAATTTGCCAAGTGAGACTCGACATCATGTTTGTTACCTCTTAATATACAGAATACGTCATCGACATACCTCTTCCATAGTTTTATTTCTGTGGGTGCGGTGATAAAGGATTTTTCTTCAAAATGCTCCATCCATATATTGGCAACCACTGGAGCCACGGGACTGCCCATTGCGACCCCATCTATTTGGAGGTAGTACTGACCCTGATATATGAAGAAATTCGTCGACAAACAATGATGCAACAGCTTGGCATATTCCTTCGGGATGTCATTTTCTTGCAACTTCACCTTCACCACTTCCAGACAATCCAACACAGGTACATTTGTGAACAGCGATTCTACGTCAAAACTGACCATCAACTGATTTTCATCTACCTTGTTTTGGTGCAAGATTTCTATGAAATGGCGGGAATCCTTCACAAACGACGACGTTCGTCCCACTATCGGCTGCAATACTTTTGCCACGTGCTTGGCCAGTTCATATGTAGGTGAGTCTATCTGACTCACGATCGGACGTAGGGGCACATTTGGCTTATGGATTTTCGGCAGACCATATAGTTTTGGAGGCTGGATGTTCCTAGGACGTAATAAATATTTGACAATGTCATCGTCTAAAGCGTGGGCGCATTCTTTTATGAGTGAGCGAGTGTTACGATCTGTCCTTGCCGTTGGGTTGTAATTCACCTTCTTGTATATGTGTTCGTCAGTGAGTAGACTCTGGATTTTGTTTTCATACTCACTGGTATTCATTATGACTGTCGCATTCCCTTTATCAGCTTTTAGTACTAGTATATTCTTGTTCTTATGAAGATCTCTCAAGGCCACTGATTCGGAAGAAGTAATGTTCGGTCTTGGTGGCCTCGCATGACGTAACACCACAGCGACATCTTGCCTGAGCGTATCCGCATCTACTGCTGGTATTTTATTACGTATGACACACTCTTCAACTGACCCAATCACTTCCTCATAGGGAATACGTCTAGGTGTAACGGCGAAATTCATCCCTCTTTCAAGAACAGACTGTGCAGCGTCGGACAACTCAATACTTGACATATTGATTACCGTTCGAGTTGGTAGTGAGTTCTTGTGGTAGGGGGCATCCGGCTTTTGTCTTTGTAACAACAACTCGAACTTACGATCTTGTTTTTTAGCGCTTAGTTCCCTGGTACGTTGAGCTTGTAAGTATGTAACACGATCGCAAATATCAAAGTCACTTGTCGAAAGAGTTTCACTGCACTTCAGATGGATTTCGTATAATTCACACTGACTTTTGTCCAAGTGGTACCTACAGTTACGAATCGATTTTCGCAATAGTTTTACACTCGCGTTTCGCAGAATACTCGCGGAACCATGAATGTCTGGTCGTGGTTTTATCCTAACGCATATAGGGATAATGTCCGAATCACGACACTTCACCAGGAAAGACAGTGATTCCTTCAAACACTCACACTTTTTCCGCGCGCGTTCTAGGTGTTTTATTAATTGAGACGTATCCGGCCCGTACCGGTTAACAATATATTGTTTTAAACTTTCATGGTCACTAACATTATAGTAATATAAGTTATTTACGGGATTGTTACCATGTACCTTGTTTCCTCCTTCCTTTATCCTTTATCACCGCACCCACAGAAATAAAACTATGGAAGAGGTATGTCGATGACGTATTCTGTATATTAAGAGGTAACAAACATGATGTCGAGTCTCACTTGGCAAATTTAAATGGTATCCATTCTAAAATCAACTTTACCTATGAGATCGAAGAAGACAGAAGTCTGGCCTTTCTGGACGTGAAGATTCGGGTGAGGAATGACGGTTCGCTTGGTCATTCCATTTACCGCAAATCAACACACACTGACCGCTATCTCAACGCCTCCTCGCATCACCACCCTAAACATCTTAACTCTGTAATGACTTCACTGACGAACCGTGCATATGACCTGTGTGATGAGGAACATCTTCAAGAAGAGTTGGAGCATGTACGACGAGTCTTACAGAGTAATGGATACCAGGGACATTTTCCATCAAGACACAAACTAAGACACCAGAGACACAGAGTAGACAGACAACCTGTTTATTTACCATACGTCAAAGGAGTGACTGACAAGATCTCAAACATACTGAATAAGTACTCACTAAACACTGTCTTCACTCCTGTGCGAAAGGTTTCACAATACCTACGGTCTCCTAAAGACAACTTCCCCTTGGAGAAACCTGGTGTCTATAAGATCGATTGCAGCTGTGGCAGTTCGTACATTGGCCAAACAAAGCGAACAGTATCATGCCGAATGAGGGAACACATAAAAGCAATCAAGAACAACGATACGCAAAATCAGCCATCGCGGAACATTTGATTAATTCTGGTTCTAACCACTGGATTGAGTTTCATAACCCACAGATTATCTCGACAGAACGCCACTACATACCAAGATTGGTCAGGGAAGCGATTGAAATAACAAAACATAAAAATTTCAATCGTGAGGACGGGTTTAAATTGTCGAGTGTCTGGAATCCTGTGGTTCGTATGTGTGGAACCGGAAATAATCAAAAAAGTGTCGTGTCGCGATCCGATACTGTAAGTGTTGTGTGTCGAGAACAGTTTCGAGTGAATAGTGAGAATGTGAACAGTGGTACGGGTCGCAATAAAAGACTTCGTCGGAGGGTAGACCGATATGTCTGCCAATAACAGCCTACCCGCAATTACTTCAGTTACTCCGTGATCATGGCGCTTGCAACAGTGCCGAAATATCGGAAACTCGCTAAAAACAAGGTACATGGTAACAATCCCGTAAATAACTTATATTACTATTTCTGATGTAGATACTGATCCTCTTTCACTCTAACCCGCAGCGCCGATAAGATAAGTAAGTTTCGATCGAAATGAAAAAAAATACTGTAAATAATATGCACCGTGGGACCGTGCGGTAAAATATTTTACCGCACGAATTTTGAACTTTCGAACAATGTATATGCAACCTTCGTAAATGCATTTTTTGAGCAAGTGTGTATCATATTCTAATTTTAAACATTAAATTCGTTGATTCAGGAAGTCTATAGTAAATTACTATTTCTTTTTTAATTTTTAAATTAGTATTAGTATGTCCGCAATTATCTCAAAAAGTAGTGATCTGATTTTGATGGGGTTTCCGGTATATAAATGCGTATTTATCAAGGAAGGTTTTAGTATCTTAAGTATAATAATAAATATAATTTATATAATAGTTATAAAATTCTAACAGTGCCCCATGGTCTCACCCGCGTGTAAAGTCGCGATACGCGTGTAAAATTTCCAACCAGTAGCTTATTCCGTATAACAAGATTTTTTATATAATGATATAACCGACTTCTAAAAACTGAAAAAATTAAAAACCCGTTGATATGTTTGAAGTCAATAAACCAACTGACCAAACTATGTGTTTACCAGGGAGATCATGATAATGGCATCGACTTCAAATAACATCAATAAGTAAATCTTATTTTTTAATTTTTTTTGAAGTCAGTTCTATTTTTATTAAAAAAATATTTTAATTTATAAAATAAAATTAATAATTTATGTTATCATTCATTCCTTCGTTTATTCAATTATTCGTTTTAATTATATGCGATGACACAAGCTGCCTCATTGTTTTATACATCTTGAACATAATTACTACTATTAAATATTATTAATAAATTATTGTGTTACTTTGAAAGCAGTGCATTCATTGACAATTTATCCATAAAACAACTATAGTCTGTCCATTCATTTATTATCTTTTTGACAGATTGATTGAAGTAAAAATAGTGACACCCTATCACATAACTCGTTCGATATCTCTTATCTATTAGACAAGTCCGTCCGTCTGTCTGTGGTGCTGTTTCAGCGGCCAAACCGTAAGAGATACATAAAGAGAATATTTAAGTTATAAGTTAAGAATAGTCTGATAAGACTACAAACCGGATTTGAGTAACGTAGCACTTCCGGTTTTCGAGAAATCAGGTTTTGGTGAACATTTGGTTCACTGGTTTGCTAGTAAAGCTATAATCGATATTATGCTATAACATTGTTTAATCTATTATAAGTATCGAAATTATTTTAGCTGTCAAAAATATTCAAAATCTCATTAGATTTATTATTTTACCTAGTACAAATATTTGTGTGATGAGCACGAGTGAGTAGTTGTTCTGCGTCTTTGTGTGATTTATCTATAATATGCTTACTGCTTTTTATATGTTTGTTTATTCTAATACTACTAATCTGTACAATTAGATTTATTGATTATAATTAATAATTTCATTTAAAAAAGGTTTATAAAAAACTATATCTTTGACTTTTTACTCATTTATTTCTACCGATTATTTGTAATCATACACAATCTTAGTAATCATTATGTGTGGCACATTACTAAGTGGGCGGTACCCGTCCATGAAGTACAATATTATTTGTATGACATTTTAACGTAAACAATACAAAATCTCATGGGCGTCGATCTGTCAAAAAGATAATAAATGAATGGACAGACTATAATATAGACGCTATAACTAATATTTATCAAATGCTCATTAACAATAGACAAATGAGATTTTAGAGAATCAAATAATATTATCTTTATTAATCATTGATTTCGTTCGTTAGGTGAGGAAATAACCGAACTGGAGACTGCGTTTAGTTCTCGTGAAGACAAATCTCCCCGTCTTTACATAGTGACCGCTTACGACGGTGATCTGCCTTCTGTATGGAGTTCTATAGCCCCTTCGCCGAATGTACTGGCTCGAGTGAAGACTTTGGCTAGAAGTGCACTGGATTACGTTACACAAGCTTTGTTGGAGGATATGAAGGATAATGTGTTGGTGAGTTGCATTATATCTATATATATAAAATTCATAGGTGATTGACTAACTGACATAGTGATCTTACAACGCACAGCCCAAACCACTGGACGGATCGGGCTGAAATTTGACATGCAGGTAGATGTTATGACGTAGGCATCCGCTAAGAAAGGATTTTGATCAATTCTACCCCCAAGGGGATAAAATAGGGAATGAAACTTTGTCAATTTTAAACCGATCGGGCTGAGACTTTGCATGCAGGTATAAGAAGAATCATAGATGAATGTCATTGTGTATAATACAAGCCTGAGAACAAATGCTGTAGTCTACACTTCAGCTCTACACCGAAGGGAAGCGAGGGCGGGCCGCTAGTATTGAAATCTAGGATCATGACTAACTGATTTTTTGCGTCTATAGGCTAGAATCTAAATAATCAGAAACTATTTGACACGTGTTTTCCATTATTCACATTATCCAAAACATTGCAGGGAGCCAATTGCCTAACGGGATTGCTAAGGCTATCGCTATCGCGGACGAGTTCATTTTATTATTTCTGACAGTCAAAGGTTTTTAAATCATTTTCTTTAATATTGTTAATACCAATGCAAAAGAAAAAAAAGAGCGCGAGGCATTTTCAAAATTTGGCATGCAGGTAGATGTTATGACGTAGGCTCCCGCAAAGAAAGGATTTTGATCAATTTTACCCCCAAGGGGATAAAATAGGGAATGGAAGTTTGTATGAAAGTTTGTCAATTTTAAACCGATCGGGCTGAGACTTTGCATGCAGGTATAAGAAGAATCATAGATAAATGTCATTGTGTATAATACAAGCCTGAGAACAAAAACTATAGTCTACGCTTCAGCTCTACACCGAAGCGAAGCGAGGGCGGGCCGCTAGTATATACATATAAATCAAATTGGAGTGTCTGTTTGTAATATTGAAATAACCGCTTTACTACATGCATATAAATATATATACGGTACATACACCAAAATATCATTTTTACAATTTTTGTCTGTCGGTTTGTTCCGGCTAATCTCTGAAATGGCTGGACCGATTTTGATGGGTCTTTTATTGGCCGGTTGCTGATGTAATAAGGAGTAACTTGAGATACTTTTATTTTAGATATTTTGCTTGTGCTTAAATAAAAATAGCTGTATTTGTACAAATATCTTTGTATTATTACCAGGGTACGTTCGTCCCGTCTCTCGCCGGATACGATGTCATCATCCACCTAAATTCTTCTCTCGTCCCATACGCAGGGGAAAAAATTAATGCTACCCCTGTACTGAAGCCGGTGGCTGAAGTCAAAGACACTGAAGTCATCCCTGTGGTTGAATTCGACCCGGTTAGGAAATATTTGGAGGAGTTGCAGGTGAGTCGAAGCTATTCCAAAATGGATTTTGTTAAACCTATTTGGTGTACCCACTGAGAACACTTTCGCCGTATTATATATGTAATCTATACATATAATAAAATGGTAGGAAAGTCAAAACTGTACATAGAATATTTTCAAATAAATAAAAACATAACTATAATTGCTATTTCTTCTTTCAAAAAAGTATTCATTTGACATTGTGGGTTACCTAAAATGCGAAGAGATGGCGCTGCCTTGCAGCTTAAGGCTAGGAAAATTTCGACGCGGCCAATAGGGCCGTGGTAGCATAATGGTCAGTGCATTCGCCCGGATTGCGAAGGGTGCGGGTTCGAGTCCCGTCCGCTGCCTAGTAAACTTTTCTTTAGATTTAAACATCTAGCAGTTAAATGCTTAAAAATAAATAAAAACATAGAATATTTTTTTAAAAGAATACTTGGGGTGTGATCTACAATTGATACCGTAGCCAAAAATATAGTTTTTAGAGTTTTTGTCTGTTTGTCTGTATGTATGTCCGGGATAAACCCAAAACGTACTGCATGGATTTACTTCAAATTATGCACGAATATTATTCAGAAGTCGGGTCAACATATAGGCTACATATTATCACGCTATCACCTACGGAGAACGAGTAGTGAACCTTTATTTCTAACTAACTCCATGTGTACGAAGTCGCGGGCGGCCGCTAGTAAATAATAAACATCCATGACTGGAGTACAAACGTTTGAATTCATCACACAAACATTTGCCCCACCGGGATTTGAACCCGAGACCTCTCGTGTAGGCGTATAACCACTCGACTACGGAGGTCAAAGAATTAATAAATAATAATAATTATGATTATATATTTTTTTAAGCATTTAACTGCTAGATGTTCAAATCTAAAGAAAAGTTTACTAGAAAAAAAAAGCAGTTGCAGCTTAAGGCTAGGAAAATTTAGACGCGGCTAAAAGGGCCGTGGTAGCATAATGGTCAGTGCATTCGCCCGGATAGCGAAGGATGCGGGTTCGAGTCCCGTCCGTTGCCTGGTCCGCGTGGATTTTCTTTTCTAGTAAACTTTTCTTTATATTTAAATAATAATAAGTTAATTTTTCCATACCAAGTAGTCCATACTGGTATTGAAAGAAGGAATACTTTGCCACTTATTCATACTAATATAGATAAATCCTGCGCGCACAATAATTTTGTATCATCATCTTCAGCCTATTAATATTACCACTGCTGGGGCACTGGCCTTCCCTATGAATGGAATAGGGAGATTGGGCTATGACCCCCCACGCGGGCTCGGTACGGATTGGCGGGTGCTAACGACAGCAGATGCAGCCGGGACCAACGGCTTAACGTGCCTTCCGAAGCACTGAGGAGTGAGAGAAAGTAAATTTTTGGTCACCCATCCAATGATTAAAAATTGTGAAATAACTACAATGCGAAGAGATGGCACTGCCTCTCAGCTTAAGAAACAATAGAGCAAATTCGACACGGCAATAGGGTATATGATAGTATTAAAAATAAGTTAGCATCTGTATTTAGAATGATTATATTATTGGCAGGAGTTTGAACTATTTTTACAGAAAAAATATTCATAATTTTACTAAAAACCCACGTTAAAGATAATAGTTTTCTTGTATATTGTCACGTGACCCAAAACGCTTTGGATTGGTTTAGCCTAAAATGACGTCACACGCACGTAAACTTCCTATTAAAGTGACATTAGATTGTATGGTTTGACGTTTTAATGACAGTCGTGTGACGTCACACACCAGTGAGACGCCATATTGTCCAGAGATACGTTTTTCGTGGCAACTTGAAAATAGAGTTTTTGATTTAGTTTCTTTACCGAAATACACAACATAATGATGAAAATCCACTTTTTCGGACTCCATAAACATACGTAAATAACGTGAGATCGTTTTCTAAAACTTGTCAAATACCCTATTAGGACCGCGGTAGCATAATATAATGGTCAGTGCATCCGCCTAGATAGCGGAGGGCGCGGGTTCGATACCCGTCTGCTGCCTGGTCCGAGGGCAATTTTTGCTAGTGAAATTTTCTTTAAATTTAATAATTTAGTAGTTAAATGCTTAAAATTAAGAAAATAATTTGAAATGTTGTTAACCGAAGAACATTATTTTGTTTCAGAGTGCATATAGCGATTTCGCGCTCTTCTTCCATGACAGTTACGGTGGTGACGTCATCGCCGTGCTTTGGAAACCAGACGTCCATAACCTGAGGGATTTCCAGGTTAGCGAATGTTTATTCATTAACTTAACATATTTATAAAATTTTCTTAGTACTCGTACGGTATTAAAAAGAAAGAACAAACGGAAATTAGATATGTGAACGAGGTACTAAATAGAATCTTTACGTTTTCAAATCAACTCTTACTATTAATAAACTGCCCTCTTCTCTCCCTGTCTTTCCCATCCATTCGATCTCCCTGACTACATCTCGGCCTCGGCTTCTGATGGGCCTGCTCTACCAACTATCGAATCCTCTACATCAAAATATAATTTGACGACCTCCGTGGCCGAGTGGTTTGTACGCCAGGTTTCATGGTGTCGCCGACTCGAGAGGTCCCGGGTTCGAATCCCGGTGGGGGCAGATGTTTGTATGATGAATACTAGTATTTGTACTCCAGTCATGGATGTTTAATATCTATTTCTATATAAATATACTTATATATGTACAGTATATGTATTCTATCCGTTACCCTAGCATCCCATAACACAAGCCTTGCAGTGCTTACTTTGTGGCAAGGCTAATTGGTGCGAGTGTTCGAAATATTTATTTATAATATAACCCATCATCAACTTAAAATGTAATAAATAAATGTGTTTAAAAAATCCCAATACAGAGTTAATTTTAAAACACCAACAACCTCTTAGGGGGTGATTCTACCCATCAACAGGAACAACTTTTATTATGGGACCAACGCTGAAATCGCGAGAAAAAATCTGCTGTTTCATACAAAAGTGCATCAGCTAATCGACCGAAATGTAAAATATATTTAAGCATTGAAGAAACTGAGTAGGTTTTTTTTATTCTTTACATTTATGAAGACTATATTACCTAGTATTCTTATCCCTGTGGCGGCGACATCTATATGCCCCACATATAGACAACGGATGGAGGAAATCATTACTCACCATCCTCAAGAGATGGCGTTACCTGCACTGCGTTCAATAATAGTATGGAAGCCTACATCGCGCAAATGAAATTCGGAAGTTAACTCTTCATATATACAATGCCCGACCATCATCAGTCGGGCCGCGGCCCCCGAGCTACTATCACCCAGCTCGGAGGAAGATCTTCCCCTTTGGCCTTCCTACATAACTGTATGAGTTAGGGCCCGCAGATGCAAGTGGTCAGTCGCAAATTGTATGATTCAGCAGCATCACTTAGGAGACTCCGTAATTTTCTGCCCGTCACCACCAAAATTGCCTTAGCACAGTCTTTATTGCTTCCTATACTTGATTATACCGACGTCTGCTATCTTGATCTCACGGAGGACCAGTTTAATATACTTGAGCGACTTCAAAATTTTTGTATCCGCTTCATATTTGGCTAGCGCAAATATGATCATGTTTCTCAATTTCATTCACAGATCAAGTGGCTACCTATTCGCCTTCGCCGGAATACTCATATCATTTCTCTTCTTTACAACATATTGTTCAATCCCAAGTCCCCGCGCTATCTTAAAGAAAGTATTAATTTCCTTCATAATTCTAACACTTTATCTTTAAGGTCATCAGAAAAACTTGCTCTTATGACTCCCGTACACGGCACAACTTTTTTCCACCGTTCGTTTGCAGTGCAAGCTGTACATCTATGGAATTCTCTTCCGGTTTCGATAAGACGTGCGGAAACTATTTATACATTTAATTTAAATAAAATAAAGAAAATATAACTAGAAAAAAAAATTCCACGCGGACCAGGCAGCAGACGGGACTCGAACCCGCACCCTTCGCAATCCGTCCGTGAGGGCCGCGGTAGCATAATTGGTCAGTGCATTCGCCCGGATTGCGAAGGGTGCGGGTTCGAGTCCCGTCTGCTGCCTGGTCCGCGTGGAATTTTTTTCTAGTTATATTTTCTTTAGATTTAAACATCAAGCAGTTACATGCTTTAAAAATAATAAAAATTATGACTATAATTGCTATTTCTTCTTTCAAATGTTTAATACTTGTAAAAGTATTGATTGGACATTGTGGGTTTACCTATAATGCGAAGAGATGGCGCTGCCTTGCAGCTTAAGAATAGCTAGAAAGAATTTCGACGCGGTCCGTGAGGGCCGCGGTAGCATAATTGGTCAGTGCATTCGCCCGGATTGCGAAGGGTGCGGGTTCGAGTCCCGTCTGCTGCCTGGTCCGCGTGGAATTTTTTTTTTTTCTAGTTATATTTTCTTTAGATTTAAACATCAAGCAGTTACATGCTTTAAAAATAATAAAAATTAATTAAACTATTTATACAATAATTTTACCGACTGAATTCCCATTTTCTGATATTGTAATACTTTTATTTTAATATCTGATGTGCTTTCAACTGCCTCCTAACTGGACTAGACCAATGTATGTATTTTTATTTATACTTATTGTATGTATATATATATTTAAATATCTTATATGTGTATGGTGTATGTATGTATATACTAATATATTATATATTTTACTAGCGATTTACACCGCCGTCTCTCCCACTTCCTTCTAATCCACTCCTTCCAAAGGTTGCCTGGAAGAGATCGCTTTAAGCGATAAGGCCGCCCATTGCATCACGTGTACTAGATGGTTTTGTACTGAATGATCAATGTTTTTTTTGTGGTGAACAATAAAGAGTTTTTGTATTGTATATACCAACTGAAAGCATATTTTCTCTTCTAGCTTACAAACGCGAACGCCCTAGTCCCGGTCACCGTTAAAGGGGAGACCAAATACAAAATAAACACAAGAGCACTGATTGAAGACTTCAAGATCCTCGGCGATGGACTGGTCAGAGACGTAGTTGTTAATAGCTAGTGTAATACAGACCTTAATGTTGGAATAGTGTAGTTTAATTTAGTATAACACGTAGTTCTTGTAAATTATAATATTGTTACTTAGATTAAAACAAAAAGGGAAGATACGGTACGTTCATACTAGCATCATATAAAATATGAGCCGACTCAACCACATAAGCAACTCTTACACACGCACACGTCTGTATATAAACATACATTCGAGCGAGCGAGACAGAACTGTACGCTTCAACGCAGCGCGAGCGAAACGGTGAGTCCGCTTTCGGCTGAGCTGTATTGTTGTCCTTTTCTTGATAACAAAATGGCGATTACGTACAAAACATTCACGACAATATGTGATTTTTGAGAAAAAAAATGATTTTATAGTTTTACGAATGAAAAGTGTTGCCGAGGTATTTGTTATTTGATTTGAACTATTTGTGTTCTTTATAAAAGCATCGAAGGCATTGTTTTATCTTTATAACACAGAATATACGCAATATTGTTATATTGAGTGCACATGCAGCGTGTTTGAATGTCCAATTGTGACTAAACCGAATTGTGGTCATGCACCACAATTTAAGCGGATCACTTTTGAGCCGCGAGTGCCGTATCTTCCCTTTGTGTTTTAATCTAAGTGTTGTTATTATTAATATTCTTTATTGATATACATATAGGTATAAGTAAGAAATTAACATACGCAGTTAGCAACGTTGTTGCTAATATTGATATACACAGCAATCCCTTACAAGCATCTCATGATATATATATATATATATATATATATATATATATATATATATATATGTATATATATATGTGTGTGTAATAAATAAGTCAAAAAATAATAAATGAACTGTGCTGGTTACTTTTTTTGTATGTAATACTTGTTCCTTTTGCGATAAATGAATGAATATAATAAATTTAAAATAAAAAATAAATAGTTGTCAAAACTTTAAAATCTACTCAAGTTTAAAATCTGCACACGGTTTAATTCCCATCGCCTATATTGCAATAAAAACGCTGGAAAACAAGCATAATACTTTTTAATCGGGTTAACCACTCCCCTACTGCGAGGCATTTGATTCTCTCTTTCACCGCGTTCTAACACTGGGGCAACGAATTAAAAATGATATGGAATACGAAATGCGCTACAAAGTGGTTCCACGAAAACTGCGATCAAGTAGGCGGGGCGAAAAAACTGCGATCAAGTGGGCGGGGCGAAAAAACTGCGATCAACACGCCGATCACATTTTGGTTAAGATTTCCGTTTAACATTGTGAATGGAGCTGAATTCATTAGCAGATGTTTAATTTGTCAAACTATTTTGTTTTGTCTGTGTGCGTGTCGCGTTAGTGTTGAAGTTGTCTGAGTTTGGAATTACGTTTTATCGGCATTTGTTAAAGAGCAATGCTTCTATATCATTGATAATTCAATGCACTGGGGCCACTATGATGTCCTCTCCTAGCATTTTTTTATATAGTCAGGTAGGCAAATGACTCTACCCCATATGTTGTTGTGGTGATAAAGCCCATATGCGAAGATAGCTGGTAAGGAGTTATAAACTGCCACACCAACCATCCTCATCTTGCTGGCCTGCAAAAATGCTTCTTCACGCTTCCCTTAAAGGACCCCAGATTGTAGTTATTTATGTATTGTATGTATTCTGGTAGTTATAGTTACAGTGCGATTTAACCTTTATGACGGCTGTGAAGTTAGCAGCGAGCGAAATTAAACACGAGCTTCGTTCAGTAACGTCCCGTGTGCCTACGCCTTTGATTTATTTACTCCTAGATAGAGCGTGGCAGCGCAGATGACGTTGAAAAAAATATTAACCAACTGCTTGACTCTAAGTCGTTACCCTTCACTTAGTGTTCAATGTAACGCTGAGCGATACGCACGTCAATTACAGACTTACGTGTTAAAATTGTTGCTTTGAAATGCCGAGTTGCGCGATAATAATATGCCGAAATTATAAAGGACGCATAAAAACAATGACCCCCTTAACATTACTAAGCAACTCATTTTTATTTACCTTAAAAAAATAAAACTATATCTTCATATAAGTTATAAAATTTACGACTCCATCTTGACATTTTCTAAATGATGACACTGGTATCGTTTCGGGCGTGATTCTCTAAACTTAAAACTAAATTTAACTTCAGCCTCTCCTTTTCATTCTGTATAGAGAATGATAGGGATGCACTGTTGTCAAATTTAAGTTTAGCTTTAGAGAATCATGCCAGAATCGACATCAGTGTCTCATTAAATAAATCCCCAAAAAAGTAAGTATGGCGTAATCAAAATTTTTAGCCTCAAGATTTCTGGCAACAAGCAAATACTACGATCATATGCTCAGAACATTTTAATAAAATAATTGTAAATAAAATTTTGCGTCACAGAGGTATCTATTGTATTCTATGTCTTTTAAAGATAAACAATCGTAATATGAAAAAAAGGTCCTTTTTATTGTTTATTTCTCTATTATCATGGGTATTATTTGACTTAAACTAAATAAAAATTTGTAACAAATATTTCCTATTTCAAATATCCAAGAATAAATTTATCAGTTTTGCAGATGTTTCCACGTCTATGATCTTTAATTGTGTGAACATTATACTAATTTTGATTAGATTAAGTTTACCCACTTTTTAGGGAATGTGGCCTAACCTGGTATGTTACGCGTGCGCACCGAGACAAAGATAATGACATTTCGCTGACTCTTCGCGAGTGTAAGATACAAGATTCGCGTGTTTTGTTTTGCGTGTCAAGCACACAAGTATATAAAACCGGGTCTGTTTTTATCGCAGTGTTTACTAGGTGACGCTCTATCTAGAGAGTAAAAAATCAAAGCATCACCCTATATTTTGTTTTCTGCGCCGAGAATTGCGCAAATTCATTTTCAGTTTTGTTGATTTTGAATTTGTATTGTGTATTAAATAGGTCTGAAGAAGACGAATTAACGAATAAAAAATCCATGTAATATTTTTTTTTTCTATAATTTACGTTGGGGTAGTCTTATTTGACGTAAAATTCAATTGACTTCAAGTGTTGCCCCACTAAAATAATGGGTTACCAATAAAAAAAAACTCTTATAACGAAACACTACTTTATTCTTAATTAAGTATGAATGCTAAGCTTTAACAAAGAAGGGCAGGTAATCCAAAGGCGCTGGGTAGTCCCTTAGCCAGTCTCCTCCCTTTATCTTCTCTTTGACATCTCCCTGCGCCAACCACTCCCCCTCCGGGAGGTAGATGTCCCTTTCTCGCGCGCCGCGTTCTAAAACTGGAGCCACTATGATGTCCTCGCCTAGCATATATTCTGGAAAAACGGACAGTTTCCTCATTATCATCTTGTCCCTACTGCTGGGGCACAGGCCTTACCTATGGATGGAATAGGCATATTGGGCCATGACTATAGATGTAAAGGCGGTTGTTATCGTTTTCGACTAGCCGATAACAATCGCTTTTCGCTCTTCACCCATAAACAGCTAAAAAAAATTTTTTTTATTAAATTTTTAGTCTCCTTGTTTCCTGTGATCTGTCTAGTCGATATTAAGCTGGATTTTATGAAATTGGAAAAAAAGATGTCGTGCATAGCACATGATCTAATGATATGGCCATCTATTTTGACCTTTTCTGTGTTTGTGTTAGAGAAGATCTTGAAGAGCACGTCTCTTAATAACAATTATGTACGTCAGAAATAAGTAGGTTGGTACATTCATACTAGTTTGGTGATGCGTCGCAATTTGTTTTTTCATCTCTGTCGTGGGGGCCACACCCATATAGACCTATGATCCATAGGTCGCTGGTTCAATCCGGCTCGACAGACCAAACTGTAGGGGCCATTACTAGGACCCTAATGACTGTCAATATGTCAATTAGTCATGGGACGATTGTCAGGGGATAATTATTAAAATACGTCAATATGATGTGAATTCCTTTATTGCACTGTCATATAATGTAAAATATCGTTCTTAAACCAATTAGTGGGTCAACTGTGTCAGCAGTTTAGAGTGCATCGACTCGGAATGCAACTTAATAAAATATAATTAAAATGGCGTGTACACACGCCACAGTCTACCCTGCCCTGCCTAAATCCGGCCTTGGTGCTTGCTTGGGGTACTGATCGCGCAAAATGCAAATGCAAGCGTGTGTAAATACTTCGAACGTGTATAGTCCAAAGAGAATATTACTTGAAAAAATTCCACGCGGGCCAGGCTGCTTTTTCTAGTAATAATTTCTTTAGATTTAAACATCGAGTAGTTACATGCTTAAAAAATAAAAATAATGAATATAGTCCACTCACGATCCCAGATGTCGTAGGTGGTGGAGTCGTTGGGCGCGGCCCACCACAGGGGCGGGTTGACGACTGCGCGCGCGCACGCCGCTACTATCTGCGGCGAGTACTGCGCGTGCAGATCTACGAACTTCTTGCTGATTGCTATCGTCTGTGCAATACATTATGATAATTGGTTTAACTTATATAAATACTAGCTGTCCCAGCGAACTTCGTACCGCCATAAAAAAATAGGGGTTGGTCGTAGAAGGATGAAAATTTATGGTTGTATGTATTTTTGTATGATGTATCATAAAAAAAATATCGAAAATTGAAAAAAAAAATTTAGGGGTGGATTACCCTTAACATTTAGGGGGATGAAAAATAGATTACATCCGATTCTCAGACCTACTGAATATGCATATAAAATTTCACGGAAATCGGTCGAGCCGTTTCGGAGGAGTTTAACCACAAACACCGCGACACGAGAATTTTATATATTAGATTAAATCAGAACTCGGTAAAGGTCGCGGCATGTAACTTTAGCGCTGAACAAAACGCGGGGAGCCAATCGGAGCAACGCACGCCCACCCGCGCACCTCCTTTCCCCCCAATTTTTATTTCTGCGCAATAACGGTCAGCTAGAAGCGCTAGAGTTTCGTGCCGCGATTTATAGCATACGGTTAGCGGACAGCGGAAAACGCATGAGCGAATCCTGCCTGACACCGTAACCGAGTGGATACTTTTCTAGGAAAATTTTCTTTAGAAATCTTGTTATTCTTATATTACAAATGTGAAAGTTTGTATGGATGCCTGAATGGATTTGAATAAAATTTAGCATTTTAGTTTATTTTAGTATATTGACACACTTAGGATATTTATCCCGGATTTTTTTAGGTAACCTGTACTCGTTTTTTAGGTACTTTCGCGGAATTTTGCGCTCTGTCACTTGGCGAACAAAATGCTTTGAACGGTTTTCTACAGTAGTTTTTACACTATTTTACCCGCCTTCGCGTCGGACGCGCCAATCCGGGCCGCCGCACAAAAGTAAGGAGAGAGCATTTCATTGATTGAATAATGAATTGAATTGCATTTGTTTTAGTTGCAATTTGTCATCCGCATCGTGATCGCGACAGCGCTATATGAAAATGTAAGACAGCGATAATTACATGTCTATGAATGAATTTTTACTACGTCGCTACCGCAAGCTATTATGGGTGACAGAGCGGGTCTTTCCGCGAGTGTACTTATATTCTCAAAAAACTAACTTTAACGGAAGCTAGTATATAAGTATGTCAAACACAACAATTAGCCTAGTCTGAAAGTAAGCATTATAAGATTTGTGTTAAGGAAAACTAGGGTGATTCAACAAAAGAAAACAACGCTCGCAGTCAGTTGTACACAAAAAAACAAATTTGTTTTGTTTGCAGTCTATCATTTAATCTCCAATCTTTACAAGTGACCTGTGTGAGTTATTCTACTCGGCAAGGGTAGCTACACACATTATCAGGCTGGCATATTAGTTTAGGCAGTATTTGTCGAGCAACATAGCCGACCCGCAATAATTACTAACGAACATTCATCTACACATATTTGATTTTATCGCTTCGGGGCCCGAATTCGAGTAATATCTTTCGTGTTCCCGAATACTGCAAATACTAAATGTAATTGCGCCATTAGACTGAGCGCTGACTGAGTTTTTGGGTCACCATGACTTTTGTTCAACGTTGAACTCTATGAAGTTATATGAAAGTGCGTTCAATACGGTTATGTGATATCACGGCGACAAAGAAAATTTCAGTGGCATTCGGGTTTGTGACAGATTAATGCCGGCCCGTTTAGGTATATGTGACATGCACGGTTTCTGGGATGAGTGGTGCCTCTTTGACTCCGAGGCACCGCACATCGGGGAGAGTCCGGAAACGGACAGTCACCTTGCGCGCGGACAGTTGGAAACGGGTGCCGCATATAAGTTGCGGCACGAAACTCTAGCGCTAACCGTTATTGCGCGGAGGTAGAAATTATGATGTCTTGGGGGGAAACGAGGTGCGAGGGTAGTTGTGATTAAATCTGCCGATACAATAAATAAATATTTCTAACACTCCAATTATTCTAGCCCCAAAGTAAGCACTGTCAGTGATAGTTATGGAATACTAGGATCACGGATATAAAACATATACTGATACATATATAAGTACCGTAAGTGAGGGTTACTTTAGCTCGGGTGGGTAACTTTGTCCCAAATCAGAAAAAATATTGGCTCACCTTTCCATTATATGTAATTGAGTTGCAAGCTGAAATTTTTGTCACGCAAGGTATTAACTATTAAAAACACGTACACGAAATCTTTTTAGGCGGAAACGAATAGAACTCGAGAAAAAAATTATTGAAAATTAATATTTTTGTAGGTTATGAGTCAATTTTGACAGCAATTTTGATCAGTGCTGCCATTTTTTTATGCAAAAATAACATGTTTCTCGTTGTCTATGGTAAATATAAGTTTATGATGTTGGTACTATTGTCAAATGTGACAATTTACCGCCATTATTGAGATCTGTCAGTCAGTGTTTGTGTTCGTCGCAGTTGAGAGCTTTTTCGTATTCCTGTTGATATTAACATCGTCTGACTACCATGGCATCCTCAAAGCCTTTGGCCTCGAGTTCTGCTGTCCCTTCGCCTGAAGAGTCGAGTGTAGTGCGAGTTTTGGACTCTAATGAGCCGCTTGTGTGGTGATACTTCACACTAGGTTAGGTTAGGTTAGTGTTGTGACCTTAACGCGCGAGCCGAGCGAGCGAAGCGAGCGTGCCGCGGCAGCGGCCGGCGAAGCGCCAGAAAGAATAATTCGTTAATAGAGACTTTTTCTACAAAAAAATCAAATATCACCTCTAGGCCCTGGAAGTACAGTTTTACCTTTAAAACCCCTCTAATTTTTTATAAATATCATTTCTGTAAAAAAAACGCCGGGAGGGGGGGGGGGTTACCCTTCCCTCTGAGGGGTCTTCCCTAATACCTATCCCTCTGAAATTCCACTACATTTAACAGATTTAATGAATTTTTAGGTTAGGTAAAAAAAAAATTGCATTTCCGCCAAAAATCTTTTATGGCGGGGGGGTCGGGAGGAGCCCCCCCTCCCCCTCCCCTACAAATTACCCCGAAATTCAATTACATATAATGGAATTAAGTACCAAAATATTGAACTTGCCGTCCCATCAGTATGTCTTGGGTGACCGTAATAGTTCCAGTTGAAAATCACAGATAGCCATGTGGTGTTGTTTTACCGACATCGTTCCTGTATCAAGTTATCATTGTAACGCGGGATTTTTTGTAACATGCGCAAACTTTCTCAGAACTGTGGTTTTCGGTAAGTTTATAATTTTTTCTTTAACTTAATTATTTTTGGGTAAAAACATCCATTTGTGTATTCAGTATGCTAATGGTGATCTGTTATAAGGGTTACTTAACCCCAACATGGCTTAAAATGAGTTTTTTTCACAGAGAAAACGAGCTAAAGTAACTCTCTTTAAGGCCAACTTTGGCCCAAAATTAAAAAATATATATGAACCCTTAAATATTATTTTTTCCTATTTTCGTATGATAACTTTGTAACTTATACTTTAAAGTTCACAATGGAAAGATATAAACGTGACATATTCATCACAAAGAGAAGCTACAATTTTATTTGAAAAAAGTGCACATTTTAGGTCAAAGTAACCCGCAGTTACTCGGTATATTTTAATTTAGAAAAGCATATAAACATATGTATATAAACATCCATGACTTAGGTACAAATAGCTCGTATTCATCACTCAAACATTTGCCACACGGGGATTCGACTCCGGGTAGGCGACATCTTGAAAACCGGCGTTCATACCACTCTAGCCATGGAGGTCAAATTAATGGGAATAGAAGTAAGTATGGATATAAAACGTGAAATTCTGTGAAACGGTACCTCATTATCAAAGTCCCATGGCACGTATGAGAACTGCATACTAGGCATAAAGGTGTTGGCTTGCAGCCACCTTATAAAGAGCTCCTTAGAAGGCGGTTCATTGTATCCATTCCCACCGATCATATCGGGCAGAACTAGAGGGTAGCCGTTGATGTTCATCTGCAGGAGGGTAGTCAGTAGGGTAGGGAGACCGTTCTCGAATGTCCAGTATGTGTCCTTGTCGATCATCCGCACGAAGATGGGGAGGTCTTGCGTCCTGTAGGTCATAACAAGGAATAATTATGAGCAATATTCTTGTGCCCCGGATACTGGGGTATTTTGTTCTATACACAGAATTGCATACTATGATGTTTTATAATTATAGATACGTCATACACAATTCTAATTTGGCCATACGAAAGTCAGGTAATTGCCCGACTTGCATTCAGTTGGACACGCTCTCTCGCCGCGGCTACAATTCGCTACAACGTGTGAATATTTTACGTTTTTCCAGACAAAAAGCCCTATGTGTGTGTTTGAGATGGTACACAAATTACACGGCAACTATGAGAGACAAGAAAAACGTCATTTCATTTGTAAGTACAGTTATAAGAAATTAATGTACACATATTTAGTGATTACTTATTTTGACAGTTACACGCGGAGACTAAAGAGCGAGATGAAATCTGCTTTATGAATGAGAGTGAAAGAGACTACTTTAGTGCGCTCTATTGGCGGCTGTTGCCAAGGGAAGTTGGAGCGGAGAGTACTTGTGTCATTTTAAAATGCATTATTGTTGGCATATAACCTGTCTAAATGAAATGGGGGCGTATTCACTCCAGGACCAAGAGGGCCATGATCGGCTACGAGGGGCGCGGGCGGCTGCAAGAGCTGCAAGGGGTGGTAGAAGCTTTAAGGCATTCATACTGATCTATATTTTATTTTTATTAACTTAGCAGAGTGGCAATAAGATATGGTCTTGGGGCCTCAAATTGATAGCTACAATATTTAGGTGGCTGAGCTGGCACTTTCTGATAAAAGGTCCTCTTTCGGATTCCAAAACTAGCGTGCCATAAAAATACAGGTTTTTGGCACCTTTTACTATTTGGGTGCAAAGAGAAGATAGTTAGTAAGAGTAATTTAAAAGTACCCAACACCACACATTTAAATGTTTTGTTATGTAAAGGAAAGGAATGGATTTTTTAAGCTATTGTACGAAAGAATCGAACTTCTTTCTTACCTGTAAGCGGCTCTCACTTCCACCATGGGCCCGAACTTCGCGACCGCTCTCACGTAGTCAGCTGTGATAACGCCAGGCTGGTCTCTTATATCGCCTTGTAATACGGGAACCTGTCAGAGTTTATATCAGTTTTAAGTTTCTAACATACACGAATGTATGTTTTATTCAGCGTTGCCAGATTTTTTTTGTGCAAGTCGGGATTTAGGAACTTTTTGAGTGAAAAAAACCGGGTTTCTTTCGTTGAAAGCGTGACATAGTTAAAACATGTATATAATCAAAAGTTATTGAATATTTCTCTTCATTACGCGCTGGGCAGGCGGCCAGTCCACACTGCACTCACGGTCGAGTTATTCCCAAAAAGCGGGATTGAGCTTGTCATTTTGAAGCGACATTTCAAATCAATATATCTCTGTAATGTTTTGATTATGTGAATAAAGAAAAATACCTGTGCAATACTTTTTGACAATCTACCTGATACACGAAGAAGAAAAGGTTAGTCATCATCCCTATTCAAGCCATAGAGTTTTTCCTCTCACCTGTGGAGACCAACTGGTTTCCCCCGCGTCGAACTTGAAGCTGTCCAGCCCCGTCTGGTCTTTGAGCTTCTGCAGCCGGTCGGTGTACCAGCCGCGGGCCTCGGGCTTGGTGAAGTCGATGTACGCAGTCGTGGTCCCATTGTCATTCCACCAGCTCGTCTCCTCTGAACCGTATTCCGAAGATACTAGATATCTGAAAGATAATTAATGTGACTGATAAAGCTTTCATCCTCCAAAATTCGATGGTCATCGAATTTTGTATGTAGCCTAAAAGAGGTCAGAGGTCCAATGCCCGCTTTATAATTGTCTCCGATTTGCACATGGAACCTACGGTGCTTCTGATTTTCATGTGTGTGGTGGTATGGTTATTTGGACCGTCAGTTAAGCTAGAAGAATAAATTATTTTTCAAAACTTACCCTTTACTCTTGGCCTCCGAATACCAAGGCTCACAACCTTTATTGATGAACGGATGAGTCCACAATGTAACCCTGAAACCTTTTTCCTTCAATTTAGCAACAGTACTCTTCATATTTGGGAATCTGTCTTTGTCAATAGTCTGAGCTCCATAGCATATTTCCCAAAGATCATCGATCTCCAACTGGCTGTTTGGGAAGCCGTATTTTTTAATATCATCTGCGTACTGCAAGACTGTATCGTGATCTATGTTCCTTTTATATTTAGCCCACGTTGACCAAATCGGGTATTTGATCATAGTCTCATCAGGTATCCCCGTTGGCTTTTCCAAATACTTCTCCACTGCGTACTCATGAGCTTTCTTGACGTCTTCAAATATCCCGATGGCGTAGATCAAGTCGTTTCGATCCCTTTTGCTCGAGTAGGGAGATTTTATTTGGGCTTTGAAGCACGCTGCGTTTTTATCCCTGTTGTTTTGGTCGACGAAGAGCGGGACCTTCTTGTCGAAGTAGTAGAAGATGCCCGAGGAACTGAGCCAGTAAGGCTCAGCGACGCCGCAGTTGTCGGCCTCCTTGGTGACGTAAGAGTAGTCGGGGAGAATCAGTCGCTCTATGGGCCAGTACTGCCGCTTCTGTTGAGGACCGCCGTACCAATTGTTGGAGCCTGTGATAGCATTATTAATGTGTCATCTAAAAGAATAAGTATTTTTTGCGGGCAAGCTAAATGATGATGTTTAAAAAGCTAATATATTATAGCTTTGAGCATAAAAAGGTACTTATAAGCATTAAATGCAATCGCCGCTGTCTGTCTGACAAGGGCTTAACACTAACACCCATGGAAAAATGAAGTGCAGTTTTCCATGGGTCATGTCAACTGCATCTTTTTGCAGTTTTTTTTTATAATTTACACAGAATCAGAGAAAGACAGCTCAATGGAATAGGTAAAACATCGAAGGCTGATGATTATGGTTACTCAATTGTTAAAAAGTATTACTGACCCAAGTTAACGCAGTCCTCCAGCTTGACCGTCTTGGGCGCCTCCCAAGTGAGGGTGAGGAGCAGCCCCTTCTCTTCAGCCACGCGCTCGGAGCTGATCCTCACGCTGGTGTCGTTGGCGAACTGTATGATGGCGTCGTCGTCCTGGACCACGTCTTTCGCGGCGCCCGCGTGGCGTCCGATCACTGTGATCACCTCGGATATGCTCTCTGGGAACAAAAGGAGGTTGGTTCGTTAGGTATTTGTAGCGGCGACATCTACACACTCCAGATATAACCAACAAGGAGATAGTAATCACTTGCCTCGTCAAAAAATGGCGCTACCGCTGCTGCATTCGTAAAGTATGGAATTGTACATCGCGCAAGAGAAATTCGGAGGCTAACTCTTTATATATGGAATGCCTGACCAACGTCAGTCGGGTCTCCCTCAGGTTCGAGTGGTCTAGAGGCTCCAGACGGAGAGGAGACTCCCCTCGTGGGGAGATGCCATCCGCCTGGAATACCTGTTGAGGCACTCGCCAATTCTCGGCTTGAGATCTCCTTAGGATTTCGCCGTCCCCAAACTCGGTGACGCTGTATCGAAAATCGCTCGTTTTTTTGGGTGGTATTTTTCTACTGTAGTAGTCGCGTATGATGTGTAACAATTAAAACTTCACCTTATGTAAAAAAAAAAAATAACATTCTACTACAAAAGGAATAAGCCATTTGAACATTATGTTCTAAAATCAAATCAAATAGCGCGCGCTTTTGCGATTTCCTGTTACACACTTCCGTCCCATTTCACGAAATCACTCCCACAAATTGCAGGAAATCGAGAGGAAAGATGTTACACATCAAAAAAAAGAAGTCAGTCGGGTCGCCTCAACCTCCGAGCTACCATCACTCAGCTCGGAGAATATCTGCCCCTGGCCTTCCTACACATTTTTGTTTCCGTTCCTGCATTGTTTGTGTGCCGAAAAGTGTACTATTCACCTGATGGTAAGTGGTTACTAAGTATAGCCTACAGAACCGTGCGATACCAGATTATAGCGCGCGCGTATACATATCCGTATTCATATAACCATCGTCAAAGTTTGTACAGAAACTAAGCATCGCCTACCGGACTTAAGGACAAACTAGCTTTTTCCATAGAAAATGACTTGACGATACGAACGCTTTCGAGCTAGCTGTAGGTGCTTGGGGTACAGATTTTACCACATGAGCCTTGCAAGCATACTGCAGGAATGCAGTTGCAGTCTTCTGTTAAAGAGAAGGGGGCAAAGGGAACTTCACTTGGAGAACGGGGGAGATAGGTGGGGCGTATCTGGTTTTTTGTTCCAATTGAAGTGTATAAAATATAGTACCTACCAAAGGGATATTAAGAAGAACAAAAAAAAAAAAAAGAAAAAAAAAATTGTTGATTGCTTTCTCTTTTCTCTTATTATTTTTGTTTCTCTGTCATAGAAAGTTAACATATATTATAGTATGATGATTTTAAATATGATAATATTTCGACGAGAACTCTGCCGACAAACTGCGTTGCAGTTTGGCAGATATAATGTAATTTTTATATGTAAATTTTTTGATTGATGAATAAATGAATAAAAAAAAAAAAATTTTATCAGGTGGGGTGGGTATATTTGTTGCATCACGAAAAGGAATTAATAGGGTGATCCTCTGTTTGCGAAAGGTCGCGTTTCCACCTGCAAGAAAACTCTCGCAAGAAATATCCGACAGTCTGTCCGGCAGTATCATGCAATGCTGTCGCGAGCGTACTTGCTACGTAATTTACATTTTTTTTTATAATATTCGTTTGTTCTCTTTATTGCAATGGTCTGATATTTTTGGTTTATGTCTTCATTGTGTTTTTCATTTATTTGTCAGACCCAGTCCCGGGGTGACGCTATTCCATACGTCTGGGGGCTGGGGCTGAGGACGTAATTTACATTTGCTGTCGGACATTTCTAGCAGAAGTTTTCTTGCAGGTGCAAAGCGGCCTAAGGAGCACTAAAAACGGAATTTAAGTGGGTTTAGTGGGACAACCCCACAAGACAAGAACCCAATACAAACAAAGGCAAGAAAAGCAATATTAAAGAAGCATGTATAGGGTTAGATAGAACTCACTCCTCTCCAGCACAATGTTGAGTCCTCCGTAAGGGTTGTCCTGCAGCTTCACCTTAACATCGCTGCTGTCCAATAAACTGATGTCCACTGCTTGCGCACACGCACTCAGTGCCAATATCACTGGAAACGTATTAACATTAACACTTGAATATCGAGATTGAAATACATGCAAACTGTAATCTAAAGAAAATTTTAATATAAAAAAATCCACCCGGCGAATGATTCAGACGGGATTCAAACCCGCATCTTCTGCTATCCAGGCGAAAACTGGAACTGTTAAGTGGGCTTTTTTGCTCACGAATGCCTTGGAATTTGAAAACTATTCGCGCACCTCGTTTCCCCCTAACACATCTTATTTTTTTATTTCTGTGCAATAAGCGGTGCGGTCAGCGCTAGTTTTTTTTTAGTGTGTATGCTGTTGGTTCCCAGATGACCTTTACAGCGTCACCGGGTTTGGGGACGGCGAGATCCTAAGGGGACCTCAAGCCGAGAATTGGCGAGTGCCCCTAGAGGTATTCCAGGAGGATGGCGTCTCCCCACGGGAGGAGTCTCCTCTCCGTCTGGAGCCTCTAGACCACTCAAACCTGAGGGAGTCGGCTCAACTAGAGGGCGTCTCTGAGATTCGGACCTCGGCTCTAGTTAGCCGTTGTCGTGGGGGGTGGGGAAAAACGCCCAGGGTACGTACCTGTACCTGGTATAGCGTTAGAGTTTCGTGCCGCGACTTATAACTAGGGTTGCCAGCCCTACTACCCATTAGGAGATCAAATACTAGGTGATAAATTATTAGAAATTATCATTATATTATTAGTAAGGCAAAGAACAGCAAAAATATATTCATTTCAAAAATAAAGTAAATATTTTAACTACATACTGTTGTCGATTCTGGCGTGATTCTCTAAACTTAAAATTAAATTAACATCAGTCTCTCCTTTTCATTCTGTATAGAGAATGACAAAGATATACTGCTGTAAAATTTAAATTTAGGGTTAGAGAATCTTGCCAGAATCGACACCACTATATTTTTCCCCATTTTTTTGCCAGCTACTATATTTTTAGAAGTAAAGCTTCGAAAATACTTTATTTGATAAAAAAAAACTACTTTTTAACTAGTTATTATAACACTTTTACGGATTGTGAAACTGCATAGTCAGTTTAATAACCTTACCAATCATAGTAGGATAAGTGGGATATTAATACTCAGATAATGACAGGTCTACTTACTATGAATGAGACACTTAGTTATTACGTAAAGATAAATTTTCCTAGAACAAGTGAGCTGGCTGAGAACTAGAAGAGAGCGTGTAGGGACAATAGGGTTTTCATTTGTTTTACATTAATTGCGACACAGCGTGAACAATCGATGCAGGTAATGATAGCCTAGACTAGAGTCAATTATGTTAAACGAAGTCATTTGTAAAGATGAAAGAAATTACCTATATTTATTTATTTTAAACTTTATTGCCAACATAAGCAAACGGCTTACTTAATGCCATAGGCATTCTCTACCAGTCAACCAGTATGATTGTTGGAGACAAATAGTACCTATGGCGATAGGGCAAAGTTGCTTAAAACTTAATAAAATGAAAATAATATAATAATACTTATATACAAATTGATGCACATGTATAAAATACTCATTTAACCATATATAGCGAATTATTATATAGTATATATATATATATAATATTAGCAAGGACATAGCGAGAACTAAAAATCAGTACACATTCGACAATGACATTTCGCACTCGCAAACTATTCGAATTCGATATTGATTCGTGCTAGGGGTTACAGATAGGGTTACCAACTTTTTTTCTATCAAATACAGTAATTTTGAAGTTGTTACCTGTACAAATATAGCAGATGGCAAAAAGATGGAAAAAAATATATTGGTGTCGATTCTAGCATGATTCTCTAAACCTAAACTTAAATTTGACAGCAGTATATCCTTGTCATTCTCTATACAGAATGAAAATGAGAGACTGATGTTAAATTTAGATTTAAGTTTAGAGAATCACGCCAGAATTGGCACCATTATGTGGTTAAAATGGTGTCGATTCCGGCGTGATTCTCTAAACTTAAAACTAAATTTAACATCAGTCTCTCCTTTGCATTCTGTATAGAGAAGGACAAGGATACACTGTTGTCAAATTTAAGTTTAGGCTTAGAAATTCTTGCCAGAATCGACACCATTATCTACTTTATTTTAAATTGAATATATTTTTGCTCTTCCACGCCCTAATATTTCTTTTCTAAGAACGCTTTTACTGCCAAAAATCTGCTTTGAGCAAAATATAGTATTTTCGCCTACTATTTTTTTTAGAAATATAGTATTTGATCTAACATAGTAGGATACTAATTTATCTAGTAGGGTTGGCAACCCTAGGTACAAATGAAGATAAAATAATAATTTGTATCTCTTAATTATTCATTTATCTTTATTTTTCGCTGATAAAAAACGGACGACTAATGAAAAGGAAATTATAGAAAGTTAGATTAACAAATGGACAACTCTTTTGGCTTAGCAATTAGTGGCCCCGACTTTGAATCCCGGAGAGGGAAAACACGTGTGAAATGCACATCCATTTCCCTATCTGTCATCTTAGATTAAAACAAAAAGGGTAGATACGGCACTAGCCTCACAAAAGTGATCCGCATGAATTGTGGTCCACGACCCTAATCGCTTTAGTCACAACTTGACATGCAAACGACGTACATGTGAACGCCAAAAAGAAAAATTGCTAATATTTTGTGTTTATATGATAAAACAATGCCTAAGTGTGTTTTTGAAAAGTGCTCAAATTGCGCAAGAACTAAAAATAACACCCACAGCATCACTTTTCATTCGTAAGTAATAAAATATTTTTTTTTCATAAAAATTGCTGTTTGTTTTGAATCTTATTCGGTAGTGACGTCGAGTACTGGTCGCGTGAATGGTCGGTAGTGCAGTGACGCGGATCTCGCCGTCTCGTTCGCGCTGCCGTTGAAACTTAACGTGCTGTTTCGTTCGGGTCGGTAATGCAGTGACGCGGATCTCGCCGTCCCTTTCGCGCTGCCGTGGGATCAGTTTTTGTTTGATGCAAGTATGAGCGTACCGTATCTACCCTTTTTGTTTTAATCTAAGTCTGTCATAGATGTTTATATTCAAATTCAATAGCGTTTATTCAGTTTACGCCGTTACAAGCTCTTATGACAGTCTCTACGCCATCGGTTCGCAAATATACAGCGCGCGGGAGACCTATTACAAAAAGAACCGGCAAGAAACTCAGCATGGCTGCTTTTAGTTTCTTATGTTTCTATTTTAAGCATGAAACAACTTCAATTATGAATGTAAATGAAAAAAAAAATATTAAAAAAAACGAGTGTGCTTATGACCACACGACTAAACTGAAACTTCTTTAGCTCCGTCTGTGTATATATATATATATATATATGTATGTGTGTGTACAATATATACATGTATGTACATATACATATTTCATTTACTAGCTATAAGAGAAAGAGAGAAAGAAAATGTGCGCGCGCAAAGATTTCTCTGGCTTATATCCCGCACTCAACTCCCGTTCGCCTCGCCCGATCACGGTTTTCGTAACGCGTTCGCCAGCTTAGGTACTCCCCAAGTCAAACGTGCGTAAAGAAGTTTCACTTCTAAAATCCACTCGGTGAACGTATCAGGCAGGATTCGAACAACTTTCTGGCTATCCGGGCAGATAGCGGTGTATTACAAAAAAATGTATTTATTTTCATTTATGAGATAGGATTGATTCATCATCATCATCAGCCTATTAATGTCCCCACTGCTGGGGCACAGGCCTTCCCTATGGATGGAATAGGGAGATTGGGCCATGACCCACCACGCGGGCCCAGCGCGGATTGGTGGGTGCTAACGACTGCAGATGCAGCCGGGACCAACGGCTTAACGTGCCTTCTGGAGCACGGAGCAACTCGAGATAGAAGATTTTTGGTCACCCATCCAATGACCGACCACTGCGAAAGTTGCTTAACTTCAACGATCGCAGCCGAACGCGCTAACTACTTGCGCCATCGAGCTCCTCTAGGATTGATTATTTCTGTGCAATCAAGGTTAAAGAGATGCAATTTGGTGTAGGCAGGCGATAAGTACTCTCGCATTGCACAAGCGTCTATAGGTTATGAGACTTCATGAGTTGTTTCTTAATGAAGTAATTTTTTAATTTGACGACTCTGTATATAATACAGGGAGAAAAAAACAGCCCTTGCTGAGTTTCTTGCCGGTCTTCTCAGTACAAGGTCTCCCGCCGTAGATTTGCGAACCGATGGCGTAGTTTTTCGACATTCACAAATGCTTGTAACAGCCTAGACAAAATAAACATAATAGAATTTTGATTTTTTTGACTTTTATGGTGGACGTTTACAATCAGGCGAGACTTAGGCTTGTATTACAGGACAACTAAGAGTTGATCTTTACTTGAGTACAGTTAGAAAGAGATGGCGCTATGTGCTGTATATAGCGACATCCCTTTCTAACTATGCTCAAGACTAGATCGATCACTGAGATTCTTTCTTTAATACAGACCTTAATGCTTGTTTGCTATCTTTCACACTTAAAACATAGCACTTACATATGAGTGGTACTTCCATCTCGGCAGCTTGTCACAGACTGCCGGTTCCGGGGTAGCATCTCTTATTATGTGTTTACTATTGAGATCGACTCATTATCACAATACTTAATCGTCGCTGGTGACGTTTGTTAAGTAAGGGACCGTGCTCACTTCCCAGAGACACCAATTTATTTAACCATTTATTTTATTTATTTATTTAGGTCAGCCAACGGTTGCTACATAGAAACATACAATAAATCTTATCTACTGAATTTAATGGTAAATGTGCTAACCAATTAAAGACCAACACTGCATACGCATACATAAATTAGGTAAAAGTGTACAATAAAAAATATATAATAATAACAAATTCTTACAAAGATTACTAGTTATATACTAATTAATAACAAAGATAAAATGCATGATGAAGAAGAAAGCATGTCATGACTTATAAGCTTCCACAAATCCTTGTTTGCAATACCATATTTCGGCCTTCACGTTAAATTTTAAAATATTTAATTTTTAATTAGCCAGTGGCAGTGACAAAGCATATAGAATTCGAAGTTCCTACTTGGTTATCCAAAAAACGATATTGGTGTCGATTCTGGCATGATTCTCTAAACCTAAACTTAAATTTGACAACAGTGTGTCCTAGTCATTCTCTATACAGAATGAAAAGGACAGACTGTCATTAAATTTAGTTTTAAGTTTAGAGAATCCTGCCAGAATCGACACCATTGTTAATGAGTCAAATGTTAAAAATATAATATTATATTTAATGCTGGTCGGTAATGTACACAAGTATATATTTTAATACTACATCCACAGCATATTATTTTGAATTGAAAAGAAGAAGAATAAAACTACGGGTTGCACTCTGGGAGTGCCGGCAGAAGTGAAAACTTGAATATTAACGTTGTGCATTTTTGATATTTTGGAATAGTTAGGGAATAATTTTGCACGAATTGCTTTTATTTCCAGTATAAAAGTACTATCATTTATGTGGTAGAATAAAATATTTATTTATTTCTCTATCGTACACAAACATGACAATTTATATTACATTAAAAAGTTTATCCCTCAGAAAAATCAACTTACATGAACCACATGTAAGTGCACCTAGCGACATCTATTGTGAAAAAGAAATGCATTTTCTTCGCAATAAAGCTGCCACCTGGATGTCCTAATTAGAGACTTATTATTATAATACGATAAAATAAAATATTACTATGTTTCGTCCAATATATTGAAAGTCAACAACCTTCCCAATTTTATTGTTATCATCTTACGAATTTTCTATTAGGTCACGTGTTCGGACGCGATCAGGCCACGTGTCATGATGCGTTCAGGCCACGTGTCCTGACGCGAGTTTAACAGTTTTTACCCTTTACAAAAAAGTATACAACGCCGCTAAAGAAGTTTTCACTTAAAAAAATGAAGCCGTATTTTGATAAATTAACGAAATGTAAAACAATTGGAGCATGACTTGCTTGTACTTTTGATTATAGTTTTTCTTTATTTAAACACTATTTTTAGACAGTAATAAAATTCGAGATGAAGTCACAAGAAATTATTAAGTACACCTATCATCTACGCTTATTGATTCGCTTATCAATACAGGTGCATGTACACTCCCTCTTAGATTGAAACGCCACTAGGTGTTGTAAACAATAGCCGGGAAAAACGTCTCCATTCTATACTAGGATTCACATATCATAGGTACAAGTAGAAGACAGATTTTGCGTTAAACTTATTAATTAAACACTTCAACAAAAGTGAATATGAAAAGATCGTATTTATTCGTACCTATTATAGCAGCCTTTTAAATTAAATACTTAAAAAAACAAGATTTCCATTCATAATCGGGTAGTCTATACTAATATAATAAAGAGGAAAGGTTTGTATGTAAGTATGTTTGTAATAGTCTATATATTTGGTAAAAAAATTGCATCTTTTGTTCTCAAAGTTTTACTACTTAGGAATTAATAGTAAGAAAAAATTGCATCTTTCGTTTTAAAAGCTACTTAGGAAATATTTAATGGTAAGAAATAATACACCTGGTTATGAGAAAAACTAATTTGGTAACAAGTGCTTGAGAATTCATAAAAGATTTCTGGTAGAGCGATTGCTATAGGTCGACAGGTCCACGCAAAATAGGCACTTGGTGTCGAGTTGGGGAAGCAGCCCGTACTTAAGTACTTCTACTAATATAGGTCGACAAGTTTCAGTCTGTCTGCAGACTCTTGAGATACGGTAATTCTTATAGGATTTCTAATACCTTTCAATTAAAAAAAAATTGCTTTGCTTTACACATAAACTTTTAGAAGAATTTTTCTTTATATCAAATAAGGTAGTTGGAAGTTTCCGCTGAATTTCCAGAACTCACCGTATTTATGCTTTTGTTTCAGAGTCTTTACTTATATAGATTACTAGTGGCCCGCCCTCGCTTCGCTTCGGTGTAGAGCTGAAGTGTAGACTATAGTTTTAAAATCTGTAATATCTTCGAAAACATAGTTAAACCTGTTTTTTTATATACAGATTTTCCAACTTAATCTTTGGCGGACTGAGGCGGCCTCTTTTTTGTAATACCTCCTAAGACACTAAAAACATACATGCCCAATAGCACCCCTTGTCAGAAAACACAAATGAAAGTATTTTAAAATAAATTTTTAATAACAATAAATTACAAGCTTAAATTAAAGTAAACACTAAAATTAGAGACAATTCGAATGTTTAAAAAAGCGTAGCGACAATCAGTCCTAAAACTAAAATTATCCCAGACACTACTGGTGCAGTAGCGACGTCCGTGTCACTCGACTGCCTGACGAAGAATGGCAACACATCGAGCGGCGCCGGGTGCGAGTGTAGCCAGGTAGGCCCGGAGTGGGGGCGCTCGGGGTCACCGCCCTCGAACCATTCTCCTTTGGGGAGGTAGATGTCGCGAGAGGTGGCACCCTCCTTCAACACCGGGGCGACGAGAATCTCCTCGCCGACTAAGTATTCTGGAAGTAACAAATGAATATCATATGACTATCAGGAGTTTATAAACTTCAGGTTCATACGCATCTCTTGTGGAGTAGAATTGATCTGGCAGATTGTCAAACATGAGGATTAACACACCACCTTTAGACACCCCACGACAACGGCTAACTAGAGCCGAGGTCCGAGTCTCAGAGACTCCCTCTAGTTGAGCCGGAGAGGAGACTCCCCCCGTGGGGAGACGCCATCCGCCTGGAATACCTCTAGAGGCACTCGACAATTCTCGGCTTGAGGTGGGGATCCTAAGGGGTTAGGATCTCGCCGTCCCCGGAAAACCCGGTGACGCTGTAAAGGTCACCTGCGACCAACAGCATACACACTCAAAAAAAACCTTTGGACATAAAATATGGCGATGTGCTGTCAGCTCATCGTCTTAATAGATGCTCTGAAACTACTTTAACTATTTAAAGCACATATTTTTTGTCTAGAAACGACAAAAATGCAATTAGTTATGCTTTTAGTTTGCTATCAACTTACTTTACCGGAACACATTGGTCCATCGAGCCGGATTAAATAGGCACTAGTATTCACCTCTATTGCGTAGCTTACGGGATCGACAAAGTAAAGCATGTGTAGGTATCCTCATTGTGCGGCCATTTCTAAAAGCGTGAGGAGATCGATGGAGCAGGTGGTTAGCGCGTTCGGCTGCGATCGTTGAAGTTAAGCAACTTTAGCAGCGGTCGGTCATTGGATGGATGACCAAAAATTTTCTATCTGGAGTTCCTCCGTGCTTCGAAAGGCACGTTAAGCCGTTGGTCACAGCTGCATCTGCAGCCGTTAGGACCCACCAATTCGCTTTGGGCCCGCGTGGAGGGTCATGGCCAAATCTCTTTATTCCATCCGTAGGTAAGCCCTGTGCTCCAGTAGTGGGGACATTAATAGGCTGATTATGATGATTCCTAACAGGGTGAACATCGGCCGCAATCCGACACGCATTAATTTATTATGTGTTTACTACAGAAATCCACTCATTATCACGCTGGGAGAAGCAGCCGACAGGAAGAAGTCCGCAGATACCTTCTTGTTTTGGCTGAAGGATACGTAAGAGGACATTTTCCAGACGAAAAAAAATGTTATCCTCGTTGTTTGCTACTCACCGTCCCATATTATCATCCACCAGAGATGTATGATGGGTAGAGCCACCACAGCGGTGTTGTCACGGGCGTGCCCTCAGATACTATACAACCTTGGTCCGTCGAGCTGGATATATGTATGTAGACAATAGGCAGTAGTTATTCACCTTTTCCTTTTTTTATCTGGGAAATGCCTTACGAATCCTTCAACCACCGGAGGAGCGAAGAGAAGGTATGTGGGACTCTTCCCCGCTCATTTCAATCAGCCCTTGGGCCAAATACAATGATCCTACCTAGCTACGCCCTGAATAGGGCCATTAACAACCAGGCACCGTTCACCCGGCACGCATTTGTCGTGTGCGGGCGTGGTCGTGGCACCCGATTACCAACTGGCCACGCAGTTGTTATTCACCTATATTGCGTGGTAGGACCGATATAGTAAAGCAAGAATATTCTCACCGTCCCATATTAGCAACGCTTCTTCATCATCAGGATCGAGCCACCAAAGCGGTGCAGTTACCGGCGATCCTTCTTCCACGGACGCCTGCATAGCTTCGTATATCTTCTCCGCGTACTCTGCGTGGAGTTCTGTGTACCTCTTGCTTATTTCCACCGTCTGCCAAGGAAAATAGTTTCTTTATCAAAAGCTATTTTTAAAAACAAGCTTTTATTTAATGTAGAATTGCAAGCAGTACTTCGCCTGTTTATTTTTTATTTGAAGTTATACTTCTTTAGGCGGGTTATGAAAAAATGATGAGAGTGAAATTTTAAGATGCGCGCGCATCACTGTAACACAAAAATTAACAGCATGAAGTTGGTCGCTTTAGTCGCTTTACTTTTGTGTTTACCGCACATTAAGAAAATCTACCAACAAAATAGAAATAGAATCTCTAGTTTCTAGTTTGTATATTCGGAATACGTGTTTGAGTTTCATACAAGTGCAAATCACATATGTTCTAATAAATTATATTCAGTAGCGATTTTAATTGAATATTTTGATTATTTATTTATTTTTTCAAATTAAAACTGAACTTTATTGACTGTGTCCTTTTCCAGACTTTTTATTAATTTATTGTAATTAATTATTTGCATGCAATTAAAAACTAATTTTAAACGATGCCAAAGAAGGATAACTTCTCACGCGCCTGCATAAGTACACGCACCCATTTTTTTTTTATAGAAAGGTCCGACATATGACTCGACCCCACCTGATGTTAAGTGAAGGTGAAGTCCAGACTTGAAGATAGCTGATACAGCAGTTCTACCTGCCACACCAGCCATCCTCACCCTGCCAGCCTGCATGTTGCTTCTTCACGCCTCTTTTAAAGGATCCCAGGTTGTAAGAGAATTTTCTCAACAAACCCTTAAAATTTATACCCATTCCATGGCATTGGAGTTGAGGTTAACCGATTCAGTTGCAAGATTTGACCCAATCATATATTGCATATTAAATAAAATCTAAAAAAAATGTTTTTTTTTCAAATGTATCCGAATAGTCTTTGGATTTCATTTGAAGGAGATTTTTACCTAAATCAAAACCAATTGGTCTGGGGTATCATTGTTATCAACAATTCAAAGAGACCTCGTCAGGTAAACCGTCTTCTCATATCCCTGTTATTTATGTATAAAAAAGTAGGATATTGTTAATTTCCACGCGGATTGAGCTAATTCATTATTGAATATTTATTAAAAACAAAAAATGTGTTAGTAAGATAAATTAACTATGAATCGTGATTCGAGTACTTGGTTTCAATTGCAAACTGGTTTAGTGTTTACGGATAAAACGCCAGAAAATACACGCCATTGTTTTGCGCAAATTGATTCGATAATGATAACTTAGGGTGTTTAATTTATGTAGGTACTTATTGATGAAGGAAGTAAAAAAAATGATCGGTCAATAAGGTGATGCCTACAGACACGAAGCCGTTATTAGTAATAATAGACATCTTTAATGACGTCACTCATTGTCTACGTTGAACTAGAGTTTTATGTCATTGATTGCTTGTCGGTGAGAATTTTGTGAAATTAATATATCCAACATCATTTTTAATTGGGAAAAAGACTAAACACAGGTTTCCCTGTATTTGTTAAGCGAGAACAGAGGAAAAGTTACCACACAATCAGCTGTCAAAAATAAGATAAAACAAAAACCTCTCTACGCCAGGAAGTCCCCCATTGCAATACTAGAGTGATGATACTCTGAAGTCAAAACAGTCTATTGTCTGTGGTGAAGTGATCGCTTACCATAATGATTCAGGGGAGGCAATAGGCTAGTTGACCCTTTTTTGAAAAAGGTTTTAAATGGTTAATAAATGTTCTATTATACCGAAAAAAAATGTAATGTATTTTTTTTAAACCTAGAAAGCTACAAATCTTTAATTTTAAAATAGACTTTTCATGGACATACAAAAACACTGTCGGCCATTTTAGTCTATAGATTATCTATGCTATGACGTGAACTGTGGTAAACAAAAACCCGTAAACACGTAGAAAATTACTTAAAACTGAGTTTATAATAAAAAAAAACATGATTTCTAATAAATACCACGAAAAATAAAGTAATTATCATTACTGTATTGTACGAGAATATAAAAACACATCCTTGAAGACTCCAGGAAAGTTGTGGATTATAGTGCCGAAAGAAATTAACCTACGCAAATTTATTACACTTATTCATATGTTGTATCAGTTTTATGTTTATTACTACATTGGTGTCGATTCTAGCATGATTCTCTAAACCTAAACTTAAATTTGACAGCAGTATATCCTTGTCATTCTCTATACAGAATGAAAAGGAGAGACTGATGTTAAATTTAGTTTTAAGTTTAGAGAATCACGCCAGAATTGGCACCATTGTAATACTAAATGCACTGTACTTACATAGATGCTTTGTCGTTTCTCTGCTCCGCAGAGCAGAAATCGGGGTTTAGTGCAACAAATTCACCAACCATCAATGCGTCAATTCTTGGCAGATTTGTGCTTTCTGCTTTCACATAGCCGGCAACCATAATTAGTTTTGTCAAAAAAAAACTAAGTTTACTGTTTTTGTCTTGCCTAAAGTTAAAAGTGTTTTAAGATAAATTTAGTCAGACGAAAGAATCCACCTAAAGTAACACGCGAATGACATTTAGTTGTTTACCAAAAGAGACGTCAAAATCATGGCGGATGTGGTGAATAGCGTTTTTAGTGTTTAAAAAATATGGACTAAAAAATATTTTTTAAAATTAAATTTCTACAGCAATCTTCTGCTTTTATGAAGTGAAATCGATATATTTAGGTTCCTTCGACCAAATACTTTAAGAAATAAACATTTATTTAATACAATTCGACATGAGTAAACTAGCCTATTGCTGCTTCAAAATAAAAAATAACATTGCATATTTAAGTACAGATAATATTATTCGGTATTCTCATAGCCACACTCAGTGGGATTTTGGTTGGGCCTAAGCAAAAACAATCACAATTGGCAATTTGCTCCAATTAGATTTTCGATGGTGCTCGAAGGTGTTTAACGTGTACAGTCCGTGATCGTGGAAGTTAAGCAAATTTAGTCATACGATGGGTAACTGAATATTGACTATTTCGGAGTCCCTTACTTTTACAACGGCAATCGTTAGCACCCACCAATCCACACTGAGCCCGCGTGACGAATCAAGACCAAGTCTTTTGATCATCCATATTATAAGTCTTTGCCGTAGCAGTGGAGACATTTAGGGCGTGCGCTGCCTTAAGCGGGAGCACGGTGCGGACGTAGGCTTGTTGAAAATATATCGATGTATCGATATATCGATATTTTTTGTCTGATATATCGATATTTTTTGCCGATATATTTTGATTCGATATATCGATACATCGATACAAAATAACCAATATCGAAATTCGTATCAAAAACGATATTTTTTTAATTATTAACGGCATATCACGATCTAACTAAATTCGTATCTGGAAAAATCGGAACTGGATCTCAAATTAATGATATTCATCATATCTATGATCTGTGCTGTATTTAGTATTGTCTATTATTTGTAAATCTGTTTCGCTGGTGAATTGGTTGCACTGAATTCCATTATATTCTGTGAAAGTGTGTGATTGTCTAGTCTTGTTTACGAAAGATGACGCCTGAGAGGCCCTGCATTAATTTAATCATTCGAAAATCGGGTCTACTTTTAGGGAGATAATTTTCGTTTCATTATTATTCCGCGTGCCATATTTCGTGAGATACTGTACTGTCATGTAGTGTATCGGCAATTTGGTACTTTGATAATTCTTTCTTTAATTATAATGTGTATTGTTATTATTACTGTGCTAGGCTGACCTAAATATATTTTTGGGAAAATTAGTCCGATATATCGATGTTTTTTTCGCGATATATCGAAGCAGATATTGATATTTTTTAAAATATCGATGTATCGATATATCGATATTTTTTTCAACTTTCGACATCCCTATGCGGACGTCCGACCCGCGTGTAGTTTCATGTCATTTCATAGAACAACTCTGCTCTTTAATAACAAGAAACTGCACGCAGAGTGGACGGCCGCTCCGTGCTCCCGCTTAAAGCAGTGTACGCCCTTACAGTCTGATCATGATGATGGGGAAACTTTCCAAAATACCTCGTCGTCGAAGTTCCACGGCGCGAACGAGTACTGCATGACCGGCAGGAAGGTGTTGGTTTGCACCCATCGGATGAACAACTCCTTGGTCGGCAGGTCAGCTTGCTCGTGGTCCAGGTTGTAGCCGTTCCCGCCGATCATGTCGGGCAGCACCAGCGTGTAGCCGTTGAGGTTCATCTGGAGGGCGGTCGTGATGACGGTGGGAAGGCCGTTGTTGTGGCCCCATATCGAGTCGCGGTCAACCATGCGTACGAACACTGGCAAATGCTGCGTTCTGAAACAGTGGAAATGTAAAAAAAGGCCTATTCCTAGACATAGAGGATGGATAGAGCGAGATTCGCATAAAATTTAAAACTCTAGGAAGCGAGAATGCAGCCAATACCTTTTTTTTTGTACGCAGGCAAAACCTCTATTTACAGACTTTGGCGCCCTTAAGGGGCATACCAACGAACGGACCTACCTAGCCTCTCGCAAGTCTCACGGACGCGAAACGGAGAAGCCGTTAGTCAGTCCGTGCGGCTCACGAGCGCTTACGGCATACTATCCGCTAAAAAACCCTGCGAATACCCTCAACGCTGTTAAGTACGGAAGCGCGAGTTCCCGTTGCGGGACTTCACCGCGTCTCCGCGCCCAACAGCCTCCCGGCCTAACCGGGGCTCCACGGCAGGGATCACCCTGGGATATTTCGGGTGATCCCGCAGACGTGCGCAGGACTGCCCGCGCTGGGAGATAAGTGCGCGGCCTATTGCCCACCGCACCGCTCCCCGTCCGGCCAATAGCTAGGTATGTGAACTATTGCCACGATTTCTGCGTGTTTCTCACACTTAACTGCCTTTTTGTTAATAGTTGGACAGAGTACGCTCAATCCATCTTTATCTATGCTTAAACAAACAAGAACCTTTTTTATGGCGCTAGATCAAGATATCATAATTGTAGATTTTTTAGAGATCTAGGAGTATCTAAAATGAATATCCCAGTCGTATTGGATTAAATTCGTGACCAGGAGAATATCCACCACACAAAAGGCACTGTTTTATTCCACCAATAAGGTTGATTTTGCTGGTGACTTCAACAGAGTAAGATAACTTACTCGTAGTCAGTTATATAACAAAACATGTATTATTATAACGACAGTTTGTAAGGCCATTTAGTTGTTTATGTGTACTGAGACGAGACATACCTGAAGCCTGCGCGCACCTCGATCATATCTCCGAACCTCGCGCAAGTCTTCACGTACGAGTCAACGATGAGATGTGGTTGAAGATCAATGCTACCATTTTGAACGGAGATCTGCATGAAAGGCTTTCATTAATGGAAATAAAAATAAAGGAAAAAATGGAAGCAAAATACGAGTTCATTATCATCATCAGCCTCTTTATGTCCCCACTGCTGGAATAGGGAGATTGGGCCAAGACCCACCACGCGCGCCTAGTGCGGATTGGTGGGTGCTAACGATTGCAGATGCAACCGGGACTAACGGTTTAACGTGCCTTCCGAAGCACGGAGGAACTCGAGATGGAAATTTTTGGTCACACATCCAATGACCGACCACTGCGAAAGTTGCTTAACTACAACGATCGCAGCCGAACGCGCTAACTACCTGCGCCATCGAGCTCCTTCTCAAATACGAGTTGTTAATACTATACTCATAATACCAATCAATCAAGCTCAAGCTAATGAGTAGTAGTAAGTGCGATTCGGATTAAAAACGGTGGGTTCCGTAACACAAGCACTTATTTTAACACTAGGTCTAGCAAAACATCTAAAAATACCAGTTTCTCCTACTAATGTTATTAAATCTTATCGTTCATGAGATAAAGCCCGCTATCAGACGGATGAACAGAAGAAGCTTAGTAATACACCTTTTGTATAAATAACTGGAAATGTTATGTATGTACAAACCTGTGGAGCAAAACTGCTTTCACCGGCGTCGAACTTAAAGCTGTCGATGCCGTATGCGTCCTGCAGCCTCTTCACTCGCCTGTAGAACCACTCGGCCGCAGAGACCTTGGTGAAGTCGACGTAGCCGGCGTTCGTGCCGTTGTTGTTCCACCACGTGGTGTTCGTACTACCCTCTTCGTTCAACACTAGGTATCTGGAAAGTTTATGATCACGTCAATCATTGAGAAGCAAACGAAGAACATATCTGTAACGCAAAACTGAGGAGTGGTCGTGATGGTCGCTCGGACATATATTTTTTTGCTTCTTTGTAACTTGATCTTTTTTTTCTGAAATGCTTTGCTTCGCTTTGATGAAGGAGAATGTGGGTAAGAACTAGTGAATTTTTATCATTAATATTAAGGAATGAAAAGTAATGTAATCCATTGTCGGACAATCTGCCACTATGAACATATTATGTAACAATTAGAGTAGGAACTGCGAAGTTTGCCAAGATATCGTGGAGTTTTTTATTGCAGCAAATATTTACAAAACTTATATTTTAAACGACTCACCCGTTACTTAACGCTTCGGTGTACCAAGGCTCACAGTTGCTGTTGATAAACGGATGCACCCATAGCGTCACTCGGTAGCCGAGTTCTTTCAGCTTCTGGACAAACCCAGCGAAGTCAGGAAACTTCTGCTCGTCAACTGTCAGCGAACCATAGCACACTTCCCACAGATCGTCGATTTCAAACTGGGAGTTGTTAAATCCATTATCAATAATTTGTTCCGCATATTCTAAGAGATTCGTTTCGTTAATTTCTCTAGAGTACTGCGCCCAGGTCGACCATATCGGGTGTTGAACCATCCTGAAGTCCGGCACATCTGATGGCTGACCCAGGTAATTCTTCACAGCGTGCTTGTGAGCGGATTTGACGTCAGAAAGAAGCCAAATGTCGTAAGCTAAGGGTGTGTGCTCTCTTTTTGTAGAATATGGTTCTGCTATTTGCGCTCCGAAGCAGAGATGATTCTGGAGTAAATTATTGTAGTCTACGAATAACGGGATTTCGGGGTATACGTAAATGTATTCGCCTGCGGAATTGAGCCAGTATCTCTCTACAATAGCTCCGTTGTCATTTTCCGAGGATACGTATGCGGAGTACGGCTTTGGTGCTGTTTGAACGGGATATAATTGATCGATCTGCATTGGACCGGCATACCATTGCTTACTGCCTGTAATGAAATATTTAATATCGATGTAGGTTAACATGAATTTGCTTGATGTTGCTTCTCTTCTATTATTTCTTTAGTCTCAAAGAATTTGCTGAATTCCAAATCCCTTCATTATTTAATCTGACTAGTTGGACACCAATATTGGAATGCCATTTAAATTGTCATTTAGGTGTGCTTTGTATTACTTTCTTTTACTGTGAGATATTGCACAGAATTTATTTAAATTAGTAAATCGTTATAACCATTATTGGCCATACCAATTCTCTTGAAAGTTTCAAAACACTCACCACGTTCTCTTTTACATTCTTACCGAATAATATGCAATCCTCGAGTCTGGTCATGCTCGGCGCGTCCCAGCGTATCCGTATGGCTCTCGCGCCGGCCTCCGCGTCGTACTCTGTCCGGATGGTGAGGTTGACTCCCCCCATCTGGACCTCCACCCCGCCCGCGAACTCCTCCATGGAGTACGGTTGGACGAGAGTGCGACCTATGTGTGCAATCTCCTCGCGGTTGTCGTCTGTAATGGAAATAAAATATTTGGTTGCTATATTTCCACTTTCATGCTTCTATAGCTCTTTCCTGACGCCATATTTTGTATATGAATTACTAGCGGCCCGCCCTCGCTTCGCTTCGGTGTAGAGCTGAAGTGTAGACTACAGTTTTTGTTCTCAGGCTTGTATTATACACAATGACATTCATCTATGATTCTTCTTATACCTGCATGCAAAGTCTGAGCCCGATCGGTTTAAAATTGACAAAGTTAATTACAAACTTTCATTCCCTATTTTATCCCCTTGGGGGTAGAATTGATCAAAATCCTTTCTTAGCGGATGCCTACGTCATAACATCTACCTGCATGCCAAATTTCAGCCCGATCCGTCCAGTGGTTTGGGCTGTGCGTTGATAGATCACTAAGTCAGTCAGTCACCTTTAAATTTTATATATATAGATATAAAATCTATAGATCTAAAGAAAATATAACTAGAAAAAATTCCACGCGGACCAGGCAGCAGACGGGACCGAGTCCGCGTGGATTTTTTTCTAGTTATATTTTCTTTAGATTTAGACATCAAGCAGTTACATGCTTTAAAATAATAAAATTATAAATCTATAGATTTTTATTTCTTCTAAGCTCTGTAAGTTAGTAGGTGTAGAGTTTTGGACGTATAAACTTGACCTCACTCTCATTTTTTTCAATATTATTATTACCAATGCAAAAGAAAAAAAAGAGCGCGAGGCATTTAAAAACCTCAGGCGGTAAAAATAACAAAATTAAATCGTAAGCGTTAGCCTTTTCCCAAGCATTTCCGTTAGGCGAAGGGCCCCCAGACCAGCCAGCACGGATCAGTGCGGATTGGTAGGTGCCTCATCACCATATACGTACATCATTGCAAAAGTTGTTTAACTTTCACGATCGCAGACATCCTCCAATTTCAGAGAGCGATTACTGCGTCATCAAACTTCTTTTAACTGTTTTTATAAAAAGCTCAAACTTCTTGCAAATATTTTAAGAAAATTAGAGAAGACTCCTTATATGATATACTTCAACGCCCTTCAAGCTTTATTTGTAATTTTGTAACATCCTGTATAGCTCTTCCCTGACGCCATATTTTCTATATGAATTATATAAATTCTATAGATTTTTATTACTACTAAACTCTGGAAGTTAGTTGGTGTAGAGTTTTGCCTTCCAATTTAATTAGAATCACAAGCGCGGTAGGTACTCAAAGAAATGTAGGATTATGATTATTATTATCATCAGTCTATTAATGTCCCTATCTTATTGCTTGGAGAGCAAGAGCGTTTCTACTGGACGGTATTGGGAGAATGGGCCATGACCTTAGAGGATTTATTCCAATGCTCATGGCCTGAGAGCATTGGAATAAATCCTCTAAGGATCAGACCAGCCAGCACGGACCAGTGCGGATTGGTAGGTGAAAATTAGTCACCAGCATAACTATGCTAAAAGTAACTACTTTTAGATAATATTTTGGTGCCTCATCACCATATACGTACATCATTGCAAAAGTTGTTTAACTTTCAAGATCGCAGACATCCTCCAATTTCTGCGTCATCAAACTTCTGGATGATATTTGATTCATGTCAAGGGAGTTTCATATTGAAGGATCTCCAACCTGAATTCGCAAAGATCGTTTAGGAATACCCACATCGTTTTAATGGCATATTGTCATCCTGCCTGATTATCAGCAGATAAATCCAACCTATTAAGGTTTCCAGCATCTTATCGGCAAGAGACTTGACACAATCACATCTATTTGAATAACTAAACTGTTTTCTTGTTTAATTATTCTTCATTTGTATAATTAAATGCCCGTTCGCATTGTTATGGTAATTTGTAACGATCAATTGTGTTTATATTTACAATGCGGGTAAATAAGTAAGTACGTTATGTAATCTTGAGACAATTGTTAACAATCATATCCCCACAGGAGGAGCTCGAGCGCCATCGATGGCGCAAGTGGTAAGCGCGTTCGGCTGCGATCGTTGAAGTTAAGCAACTTTCGCAGTGGTCGGTCATTAGCTGGCGGACCAAAAACTTAGTATCTCGAGCTTCTCCGTGCTTCGGGAGGCACGTTAAGCCGTTGGTCCCGGCTGCATCTGCGGTTGTTAGCACCCACCAATCCGCACTGGGCGCGCGTGGTGGGTCATGGCCCAAAATCCCTATTCCATCCATAGGGAAGGCCTGTGCCCCGCAGTGGAGAAATTAATAGGCTGATGATGATATCCCCACAGAAAGATAGATTGCGCGTTGCGTTGAGTTGATCCAATGTATTGAATATGATTTGTCATAAGAGAGGTACTTGGTACAGCATATCGGATATGCCGTTCGAACGAAAGATGGCACACTGTAGAAGATTGCATTCATTTTTGTGGTATTGTCTAGAGATGGGCCGACTATAGTATTTGCCGACTAACCGACTATCCGACTAATCGGTTTTCGAATTGTCGACTAGTCGGCCGACTATTCTGCAATGCCGATCATCCTAATACCTATCTTAGGTAGGTATTCGGAATATTTCGTCACTACTCGGCTTGCTCACGCACCACACGAGTCTCCCAAATCGAGCCGAAATAATCACGTTGTTCCAACATCACAATTTGCCTCTAAGGCAAAAAATTAACCTATGGACTTCTTTAAGATACCATAACCATACCATATACCATAACTGCATATATACTTACTTCCCATTGCTATTCTGTTATGTGTGATATTAATTGTGTTAAGTTATCTCAATTACTGACAGATTCTTAAGTTCCTAATTCTTATTGTGTTACCTTATCTTTTTTATATTTTCAGACTGCAACTTTAAATACATACTCGTAAGTACTGTTTATACATGCAAAACTAGCATAAGTTTTGAGTTTTATTTCATTGTTATGGGCCGATTATAATCGGCATGTTTTACCGAATAATCGCCGACTAATTGCCGACTATAAACGATGCCGAATAGTCGTCTTTCCCGACTAGTCGGTGGGTAGTCGGCCCATCTCTAGTATTGTCTTAAATTGCTTCAGTATCTGATGTAAGTAATAGCACAAAGATTCCTAAAGTAAAATCTTATACGTAAGCTTATGTTATGAGATAAGTTGATTTATTGACGATGAGAGATTTAAATCATGCTGAGATTACATAAATCCGTTTTTTTCGTCCAATTTAAGATAAAATTATTACCTTCACATAGGATCTAAGGATGAAGTGTTTTCTGTCTAATTGTTTAAATAGGTACTTGTTTATTATTTACTAGTATTTAATGTCCCGCTTTCGCTTCGCTTCGGTTCGGTGTGGACTATAGTTTTTGCTCACGGGCTTGTATTTTACTGTAGTAATTGGTATATACGTACCAATTAGCCTAGCCCCAAAGTAAACACTGTAAGGCTTGTGTTATGGGATACTAGGGTAACGGATAGAATACATATACAGTACTCATATAAGTATATTTATATAGAAATACATATTAAACATCCATGATTGGAGCACAAATGCTCGTATTCATCACACAAACATCTTCCCCCACCGGGATTCGAACCCGGGACCGCTCGAGTAGGCGACACCTTGAAACCCGACGTTCATAATAGTAATAATAATAAATAATATTCTTTATTGACATACACCTCACAGGACATACAAGACATTAAACATGACAGTGAAAACGTACACAATAGGCGGCCTTCTTGCTAAACAGCAATCTCTTCCAACCCATGACAGTGAAATAAATAAATAAGAGTAACAAGAAGGGGGGGTGTGAATAGATATATACAAAGAGAGAGGTAAGACTTAAAGTACCACCACTCGGCCACGGTGGTCGTCAAATTATACTTTGTAATCTTAATATACTCGTATATAAATCTCGTGTCACAATGTTTGTCCTCAATGGACTCCTAAACCACTGAACCGATTATAATAAAATTCGCACACCATGTGCAGTTCGATCCAACTTGAGAGATAGGATAGTTTAAATCTCAAATTATAGTCGCAATTTTATTTTATTGTAAATTATTACTTTTGGGCGGTACGAAGTTCGCCGAGTCAGCTAGTAAATAATAATAATAAACTTTATTTCTCTCCACAATCTTATACATGCTTCATGAGTAACAGATTAAAAAACTTAGGTCTAAGATTGTGAGAGACTGGTGACCAAACTAAGCTGACGCCTGTGTCTCAGTGCACCAGCCTCTCTCCGCTTAAGAAAGTGTTCAAGCAAAAAAAAGGAGAACAACGATAAAATCTAAAATCACATTTATATTATTTTGCATGATATGGAATATGGTAGTGCTAGTTGTGAGTATGGTGTTTATGCGTGTGTGAAGTTTGTATGTGTGTGTGCGTGTTTATGTGCATGTGTGAGGTGTGTGTGTGTGTTATTGTGCGTGTGTGGAGGGGGCGTGTGGGACTTGCTAGGTATGCACTGTCTTGTTAACTTACCTTTAATCAGGAACATTTTAAATCCTCCCGTGAGTTGCGGTTCCAATGATAGCGTGACGTCATTGGCACGAGATTGGGGCACGCGCACGGTATACGCACATCCCGCTATCGCTACCACAGCTTAAAAATTCAAAATTGATATCAATATCCTTTAGAATTCACTGTATATAAGCACCTTTGAAAGAACTCCCTCATCAGCCTATTAATGTCCCCACTGCTGGAGCACAGGCCTTCCCTATGGATGGAATAGGGAGATTGGGCCATGACCCACCACGCGGGCCCAGTGCGGATTAGTGGGTGCTAACGACTACAGATGCAGCTGGGACCAACGGCTTAACGTGCCTTCCGAAGCACGGAGGAGCTCGAGATAGTAAGTTTTGGTCACCCATCCAATGACCGACCACTGCGAAAGTTGCTAAATATCAACAGCTCCTCATCTAGCTTGAAAGAACTATATAACCACAGATATAACTATTATTAATCACATCACATGCTCACACTCCTATAGCATTCTTAGTCTAACCTTTAAGGAAAAGGAAGTGATACTTAGAAAGCAGTTGTGAAAAAAAGTTGAAGACGACGTCCACGTGACATTTTTCAAAATGGAGTTTGTCATTAGAAATTATAAGTAAGAAAAGATGATAAAATCATAATATAAATTGGCGATGTTGCGTGAGATAGCATTGTATCTTCCCGCTGTTTGGCAACATCAGAATTTGGTATGAGTTAAGTAATTTTGCAAACTTACCCAAAACTGATCCCCAGGCTGCCATCATCTCCGAACCACTCGACCCACTGCGTGTCCGTTTGCTTATCAGAATTTACTTGAACAATGATAAATCTCCTTTCATCGTGCATCGATAGCTCCCAATCTTTGAGATTTCAATGATAAAAGATAAGATTTTCTCTTTTTAGTTGACATCTGACAGTTAATTGTATGTTTGCTTGGAGACCAAAACTTGAATCCTTATTTGTTTCTTAGGTACATTTATTCTGACGATGCAGACCTGAAAAGGCTGCGAAACGTCAATAAATAAATTCGTCAAAGTCAAGTTTCGTGCATTAACCCATAAAAACTAGTTTTATTGAATCCTTAAGTAGAAATACCTTTAACTACAAATTCCGGTTAACTTACAAACAATATTTGGACGTAGTTACGCGAAAACGTTCCAACCCACAAGTCACTCGAAAATGAGTTACCATAACCAGGGTACTATTTTTGCCATATTACATCATGTGCACACAAAGATGCTAGTATTTTTAAGTTAGTTTCATCAATAAAGTTTAACCCAAATGTTCCAACCCACCATTATGCCAAGGACGTGTACTCAAAATAAAGTAAAAACATTACATGCATACTGAAACATATTGTTAAAAACTCTTAATAGAATAACATATCGTTATAATGTTCCACTTGTCTTGGAACATTATACTAAATTCATAAAACGCACATTTAATGGTTTCTTAAATGATCCATGTGGGTTGGAACGTTTTTGCAAAATCTTTATACATTTTTTATTTCTGCAAAAATGTTCCATGTAATTTGAAACCCTTTAGATTAATCCATACTGTTTTTTTAAGCTGCGAACACTGTTCTAAATAAATTGAAACCTTTTATTATAATATATTATTTTCATATTTTTTGCTATAAACAATCCACATATACTTGATCCATTTTTGCTATTAAATATGTTCTAGAGAAAAAGATATTTTTTACCAAAATAAATAACTATGGTATATTTGGACGTAGTAACGCGAAAATGTTCCAACCCACAGCAACCCCAATTTGCAATTTACACACTTTTTCCCTGTAATTATTTCAGGCAAATACTATTGGTTTAACTATGGAATGCCAAACTGATTATTGAATGATATGCATATTTTTTGTAAATACATAATACAAGGGGCATATAAATAGGTAAAACGAGTTTGAAATGTTTTTGCTAAATTAATTTTGTATGAACCTTGTTAAATAGCAATTATGCATAAACTTTCCAAAACGAATTTAAGTGTATTATTTTATAAAAATAAACCAAAAAGAAATATGTAAAATAATAAATAACAATGAGGAACATACAAAAACAACAAAAAAATATATTTGAAAATGTATTACAAAAAAATAGAACGTGATCTTTTGAGCTTAGAACCTATGCCAAAAATTTGTTGATATGGTTCCAAAAGTTATCAAAAACTTATATTATAAACATTCAATTTTCATCATCGTATTCTATGATCTCGAAGTCCGGAACTCCACCAAACCCATCAACATCATCAGTGCTTCTTCAGAACTTTGAAGCGTTCTATAAAATTGAAGGCAATCCTCGGGTATGTAGTGGTACATGGATTGTAAGTCCACTAATTTCGCTGGAGCAATCGGTTTGTCGTTAGGCCACAATAAGCAAAAATCAGATTCTTTTATGTATTGCAGTTCTCGTTTTATTCTTTTATCAATTTTCAACTCATTGAAATCGTCTTCCATCGTAGACCGCATAAAAATAGAAAACATTTTATCTTTATCCAACTTAATTTCTTTTGTATGTAGCCAACTAACTTTAGATGAGTCTGTAAACTTCTTCCTATTGATAATCTTCTTTTCCAGTTTAGTTGTACTAAAAAAATCAGTCTTTGTCATTTTGTAAACTTGAAGAGGTTTAACTTTTTTACTTAGTTCTACAATAGTGGTATCCATAGTGCATTTAATGATACTGGGCATTGTTATGTATTGGTAGAAGGAGAGGTAGAAGAGGTGCACAGGAAGTGGATTGCCTTCAATTTTATAGAACGCTTCAAAGTTCTGAAGAAGCACTGATGATGTTGATGGGTTTGGTGGAGTTCCGGACTTCGAGATCATAGAATACGATGATGAAAATTGAATGTTTATAATATAAGTTTTTGATAACTTTTGGAACCATATCAGCAAATTGGCATAGGTTCTAAGCTCAAAAGATCACGTTCTATTTTTTTTGTAATACATTTTCAATTTTTTTTTGTTGTTTTTGTATGTTCTTCATTGTTATTTATTATTTTACATATTTATTTTAGATATATTTATAAAATAATACACTTAAATTCGTTCTGGAACGTTTATGCATAATTGCTATTTAACAAGGTTCATACAAAATTAAATTTAGCGAAAACGTTTCAAACTCGTTTTACCTATTTATATGCCCCTTGTATTATGTATTTACAAAAAATATGCATATCATTCAATAACCAGTTTGGCATTCCACAGTAACACCAATAGTATTTGCCTGAAATAATTACAGGGAAAAAGTGTACCGCTAAAACACAAAATTGCGTTTATCTCAAAATGGGGTCGCTGTGGGTTGGAACGTTTTCGCGTAACTACGTCCATTTGTGCCAAATACTACTCAAGCTACAGAACCCCTAAAATATAAAGAAGTTCTGAAAGTATTAATTAATAAATACCTACTATTCAATGTGATAAAAAGGACATTGTTCTGCGTCCATACATAGTTAGCCTAAGAACCAACAATCATGAAATATTATTTTGTAGGTTCGAAATCGCAAGTAAATGACTGTAAAAACAAAGATTATTGACGGACACTTCTGAAAACTTAAATTATTAGGAAAACTAAATTTTTTTGAGGTTATGTTTAATATTCACTGAAACATAGGTCAACCTATGAACTTAGTATGAACTCAGTATGAAGTAGATTAATATTACAACTAATTCATTTTATTCGGTGCGATTTTAAAGAACAACTATTAGGAAGAACTTGGTTAGGTAGGAATCATGAATAAAATAAAAACAATAGTTTTACTTCTTATTATTTATTGACTATTTTTCATATGATTATATCATATTGTATTTATTTGTTTAACACATGTATATTGTGTTATTATGCAGCGTGAATGGTGCTCTTGAATAATTTGGCAGTATGATCCTCTCAGGATGTTGTGGCACAGGTTCACTAGCACTTGGTAATAAGGTCTCTCCTCTTTGTTAACTTCGATGGCATATTTGATAGCCGAAATAGTAATAGTTAAATTAAAGGAAAAACAATCGCAAATAAACACACACAACAGGTAATCCGAACGAGAATTTTCCGTATTTAAAAAGTACTCTTTGACGAGATGCACGAATGCCACAGATTACTACGAATACAAACTGCCTGCACCACAACCACAGAGTATCAAGTTTATGCCGGCCCTTCACTTGACAACAGTTTATCCTTGTCATGCTTAATAAGGAATGAAAAGGACAGACTGATGTCATATTTTTAAATAGCAAATACGAATAGCCAAGTGAAATGTCGGCATTAGGAAGAAAGTGTTTTTTGTTTGCAGCGCTGTCATAGATTATACACATAAAATGGTATTTATTGTCTCAGATTATTTATTAACTTTTTAATTTAGCTTACATATCTGGAAGTGTCCGTCACAATCTAAATATTGATAATTATCGCAAAAAATATTCTAAGAATTATCATAAATGCCAAATCGGTGTTGGTTCTTAGGCCAATTTTAACATTGTCCTTTAATAGCATGAAATACTAAATGCTATGCTCTTAAGTTACGTGTCTAAGAGGCAACCAAAAGGTACTTCCTAATCATGGTATTTTAATATACATTCTGCACACAATGGAGCTTTTTTGCAATGAAATATAGTTATCATTTTTTTAAGCATGTAACTGCTTGATGTTTAAATCTAAGAAAATATTACTATAAAAAAATCCACGCTCACCAGGCAGCAGACGGGATTTGAATCCGCACCCCGCTATGACCGGGCGAATGCATTGACGATTATGCTACCGCGGCCTTGATGGCCGTGTCGAATTCCTTCTAGCCTTTCTTAAGCTGCAAGGCAGCGCCATCTCTCCGCATTGAAGTTAACCCACAATTATGAAATATAGAAAGAAGCGAGCAACGACGATTTGTAGCGTGTGGCGGCCACCGGCGTACCGTGTGTGGCGAGTCCATATAAAATGTATGAAAATTACAAGAAATATGCCGGTGGCGATGTTTTGTGGCTGTGGTCGGTGGCCCGTGTGCGGCAACACTAAATGAAAATGACAACGGAAGTGAGAAAATATGAAACAGGAAACGGATAAACGTTTAGTGAATTAATTAGTACTTAATTGATGGATAAGTGAACAAGTGTTAAGCCGTTGGTCCCGGCTGCATCTGCAGTTGTTGGCACCCTCCAATCCGCACTGGGCCCGCGTGGTGGGTCATGGCCCAATCTCCCTATTCCATCCATAGAGGAGGTCTATACCCCAGCAGTGGGGACATTAATAGGCTGATGATGATATTGGTGGCCTACTAATGTTTATGTTACAAACGTTAACAATCATTGCTAACACTTTCTGAAATCTAACGCGTGATCATTTAATTATGTACTAGAATAGTACATTGTACCATCTAAAGAAAATTTTACTAGAAAAATATCCACGCGGACCAGGCAGCAGACGGGACTCGAATCCGCACCCTTCGCTATTCAGGCGAATGCACTGACCATTATGCTACCACGGCCCTAACGGACGTGTCGAATTTTCTCTAGCATTTCTAAGGCTGCAAGGTAGCGTCATCTCTTCGCATTGTAGGTAAACCACAATCCAAAAAAATATATAAGTTAATACTTTAGTCATTTTCTTGTCGTACTATTCGTAAGTGGAATTCTTTGCCTGCGCAGTGTTCCCTCCTTCCTACAATCTGGGGTCCTTTAAGAGAGGCGTGAAGAATCATTTTTGCAGGCCGGCAAGGTGAGGAACATTTTACCTTTTTCTCCCAAAAGCATACCGTTGCGATCAAACTTAGGCCCATATTACAGAAAGATTCTCAGTAATGAATCTAGTCTTGAGCATAGTTAGAAAAGGATGTCGCTATATATAACACATAGCGGCATCCCTTTCTAACTGTACTCAAGCAAAGATCAACACTTAGTTGTCATTCTGTAACACGGGCCTTAGTATCTAATCGTTAACTTACATCGTCTATCCTATTCAAGAGCTGATAATTCCACCAATATTGATGGATGACAGCTTGTTGTTTTAGTAAGATTTTGAGTTTGTCACGCCGGCGCCGTTTCATAACATTGTTATTCATCTTTTGTCTGATTTGGTGCTGAATTGGACAAAAGTCAAGGTGAATTTTTAATCGACCTATAGAACTAAAATTGGCTAATGATTTAGGCCCGTAATATAAAATGATTCTCAGTAATGAATCTAGTCTTGAGTATAGTCAGAAAGAGATGTCGCTATATTATAGCACATAGGGGCATCCCTCTCTTACGCTACTCAAGTAAAGATCAACACTTAGTTGTCATTCTGTAATACGGGCCGACTCTAAAGTCGGCTGCTTTACCTTCTGCTGATTCAATATAAAGCCCCATTGACTAAATTACAGTTCCTTTTCCCACTTTTACAATAATTATTCCCACTTTTTCAATAATTATTACTACTAACTAAGTATGATAATTTCGAATTCTACCTTATAAATATACAGTCAGCGCTGTCACTAAAATCTCCAAACATAGCTTTTGTTGAGGCAATATTTGATGCATAAGTTCACTTATTCAATGTTTGTTGGACTTTTAAGGAATTACCTATTCACTAGCCTTGCTGCTAATTCGGGCTCCGCAGAAACTGATTTGTCTTTTATTTTTCCTGCTTTCTATATTTTTTCAAAGTTTCTAGTTTAATTCTCTTCCTATTTGAATGAAAAATCAGCCATCGTGCCATCGTTTTCACAATGCAACGTTATTGTTTTTATGTCATGATTTCTTACAAGATGCTTGAAAAAAACCAATAGAAATTCTTTAATATTTTATTGCACGTAAAATATCAACATATTATTATCATTCAACAGCATTCGCTACTATACCATGAGAAAAACCGCCCTCAGAGGCTCAGAGACGCCGATTTAATTAAATCACGTGTTGTCTTAAGAAGACAACAAATTCAAATTGCTAAAACAATGGAAGAAGACAGTCTTGTTCCATTGCTTTAGCATTCAATAAAAAAATACATAACTGAGCGCAAGCGTACGAGGTGGGACCACAAATAGAATTTTATTTCATAACTACCGTTTTTATTTTATAAATCTTCTCGAAATGTTTTAACAATTTGGACGTAGCTCAAAGATTTTGTTAGTCTTGAAGTATATAATATGGTGGGGTAGTCGTACAACCAGATCATGCCCTGGATACTGTTGCCGATGTTGCCGTCCAGTCCATGCCTACTTAGGAGATTTAAGCGAGAAACTTGAGTATTCGGTGCTTAGTGTTTATTAGATATTGTGTGTAATAAGGATCTATGTCTTATTCCATTGTCATAATTTGTAAATAGTCTTTTAAAAAAAGTTTACTGTCACTTCCTCTTTGCCCTCCCTTGTAAAAATGGTCGGTACTTTCATCGTTGTGCCTTTTTGTTTTAAATTAAATCTAAGTGCATCTTTTCATAAACCAAATGTGTATTAGTCCGATATTGTTGTATCTAATAAAACAACCAATACGCCGAGTTCCACGCTTTTATTTACGCCGAAATACTATTCGGAAAAGTAGGGGAAACTACCCAATCATTGGTACTCTTCCTATTATTGGCACTTTTGAGTTTAGTTCGAAAAAACAGGAAACAATAGATGCAGGAATAATGCTGCCAATTTTCAGATTTCGAAACCATACTAGCTTTTTCTTTTTAATATGTAACGACCTTGAATAATCTATTGTCTCCTTGTTTTATTCGAATTAAACTCAAAAGTGCCAATAATAGGACGAGTGCCAATGATTGGTTGGTTTCCCCTAATTCCACCTTAAAATTATCAGAGTGTTAGGAGTATAAAATATTGGTGATTGGTGCCTAGTCTTGGAGTATGAAGTATGGCAGCGTATCCAGCGGTGCGGGATAGTCGTACAACCAGATCGGGCCTTGGATACTGTTGCCGGTGTTGCCGTCCAGCCACGTGCCGATGGGCAAGTAAACGTCTCGGGACACGGCGCCTTCCTCCATCACTGGGGCTGAGAGGATCTTCTCGCCGAGTAGGAACTCTGCGAAAGTAAATGATGCGTTAATAACTCTGATAATGGACATGATTGCCTTAATATTTTAGTATATTTTTTGTCGTACTATCAAGGGCGGATCCAGCTTTCAAGGGGGGTCATATAGTCGTGGTATATTAAATATTGAAAGTACTTAAATAAAATCCCCCTTGGTTTTGGTCCATCTGTACCCAGCCCAGGGAGGAGTCATGACCCCCAAGATCCACCCTTGCGTACTATTCGTAAGTGGAATTTTTTGCCCGCACACGTGTTCCCTCTTTTACAATCTGGGGTCCTTTAAGAGAGGCGTGAAGAAGCATTTTTGCAGGCCGGCAAGGTGAGGATGGGTGGTGTAGCAGATTATAACTGCTGTACCAGCTATCTTCGACTTTACCACCACTTTGCCACATCATTTGCCTACCTAGCTATAAAAAAATATAAATGAAACTTAATTTGACAGTTGCTATATCCTTATCACGAGGAGCTCTTTGGTTTTGGCAAGTGGTTAACGGTTCCGGTCTTGCGATCGTGGTAGCTAAGCAACTTGCAACTTCGGTCATCGGATAGGTGAGTACACAGAACACAGAAAGAGGTTAAAAGGACCGTGTGGGCAGGGCAGGCGCGCCACAATTTCGTGAGAGAAAAAGTGTGAGCAACATATTATCATTTAACAGCATTCGCTACTAGACCATGAGAAAAACCACTCTCAGAGGCTCAGAGCCGCCGATTTAATTAAGTCACGTCTTCGGAAGACAACTAATTCAAAATGCTAAAACAATGGAAGAAGACAGGCTTGTTCCAATTGATTTAGCATTCAATAAAAAAAATACATATCTGAGCACAAGCGTACGAGGTGGGACCACAATAGAATTTTATTTTATACCTACTTCTTCTTCTTCGTCTTGCGATCGTGGTAGCTAAGCAACTTGCAACTTCGGTCATCGGATAGGTGAGTACACAGAACACAGAAAGAGGTTAGAAGGGCCGTGTGGGCAGGCCAGGCGCGCCACAATTTCGCGAGAGAAAAGGTGTGAGCAAATGCTCATAACTTGATCAAAACTTGGTTCTAATTGCTTCTTTGCTCTCCGGTGTGAGCGCTGATTGGCCGATTGTTTGCTGTCGCGTCATTTGATTGGCTATTATGTATCAGGTGGAAGTGTAGATAGGGTGCGCCGGCGACATCGGTCCCCGTACAAACGGTGTATGAGCACCCTTCTAACCTTTTTCTGTGTTCTTTTGGTGCGTAAATATTTAATATCATGAGATTTGAAAAAAACGTTGACCCGGCTGCAATTACAGTAGTTAACAATTACTAATAAGTATTCGTGCGTCGGCGTCAGCGTGATTGGTCATGTCATGGCATGGCCTATCCATATTGAAAGCCTATAACCTCAGCAGTGGGGACATTTAAATATGTTTAATAATAATGAATGGTACACATTATATTGGGATCGATCTATCATTACAGACAGGACTATTGTGGCTAATAAGCCCGATATTGTATTGATAGATCGACACGAACGCCGTGCAGTAGTTGTTGATGTCGCTGTCCCCCATGACGACAACCTTGTAAAAGCTGAAAAAGATAAAGAAAACAAATATCTTGATTTAGCTCGCGAGATTGTTGACATGTGGGACATCGATTCAGCAATTGTTGTGCCGATAATCATATCTGCCCATGGTTTGATAGCCAAGAGCCTCGATAAACACCTTAAGAGGCTCGCGTTAGGTGGTTGGGTCAAGAGTCAGATGCAGAAGGCAGTACTTCTGGACACGGCCCGTATAGTGAGGAGGTTCCTGTCTATGGATCCTTAACCACCGGTAGCAGGGATCCTGATCTTGCTGCCGATGGGGAACTACATTTTTGTATTTTTAAATGTTATTTTTTTAATGTTATACACTGTAAAAAAAAAATTTTAAATATAATTTTGTATGTATATTTAATGAATGGTACGTAACCTTTCGTGTGTGTCCAACTCTCACTGCGTTTTTAAAATGGTAAATCTATTTATTTTTATCTTACCGTTCCAAACAGCTAATGGAACATTATCGTTAGGGTCGAGCCACCATATAGGCGGGCTGATGGCTTAGAGTAAATACTTTATGGTCGAAAGGCCTAGCCCGCTCTATAGACGCATAAAGGTATTGTCACAAACGCTCTCGAAACGGAACCACGAATGTGCCAGATCACCGCGGGTCGCGATAGAGGTCGAGTAATGCGGCTCATTCTAAAATGAGCCTTATGCAGTGCGGCGTAAGGGAGAAAGTGCAACGACATCTGCACTTGTTTACAAGTTATGCGCGTTACCTGCGTAGGTATAAGTACTCGCGGGTGCTAGCTAATTCTTAATTTAACAAGTACTTTCTAGAATGCGTCGATCGGCGTATATAAGCGCGATTGGCGCCGCGCAGAGACAGTTGAGTTTCAACAGCGATTTCGGAGCGAATCCAAAAGCGATCAAAGTGCAACAAAAGTGTTCAAGTGAGATTGTTTAGAGCAGTGGTTCTCAAACTTTTTAAATGACGGAACCCTTTTGGGAAGCAAAATACTTGATGGAACCCTACAATAAAACAATTATTTTTATAAGTGTATTCTATATTAATCAGCATAATAAAAGTACAATGTATCCGTTACTAATTATTATTTACTTCACCACTTGGTAAGGACAATAATAGAAAACATTAAAAAAGAAAAAATCTAACTAGTGGGAGGTATGAAACTGTTTTTTATTTTTCATCAATTGCTTGATATCAGGTTTGATGGAAGAAAGTTGGAGTCTCATATCAGCTTCGGCGTCCAGTCTATTGCGATATTTTGTTTTCGTGGCTGCGTAGGTAGAGAATCCTGTTTCGCACAAATATGTAGTTGGGAACGGGAGAAGAATATCCAGAGCCATTTGGCCAAGCATTGCATATTCATCTTGGATTCTGCACCAAAAATCATTAAGAGGCGTCGTTTTGAACAATGACTCCATACTTGTGTCTGATGACATTTCTAAAAGAGATTCATATATCTCATTTGACATGTTTTCAGGCTTTTCCAAGTTGGGTAAAAAAGGATTATGAATCCAGGAGTTCACTTTAATTTTTGTATTGTGTTCTTCGGGAAAATACTTTTCAAAAGATGCGCGCATCGAACTGAGATATTGGACCAATTCTTCAAACACATTATCTTCAAACATTTCTGAGTCGTTTTCGCTAACAAACTCAGTGAGTAACGTAAAACTTTCTATTTCTTTCTTACCAATGCAAATGATCCAAAAATCTAATTTTCTTTTAAAAGTAGTTATTTTATTATAGGCCTGAAACACTGTTGTCTGTTTACCTTGCAATGATAAATTTAATTCGTTAAGTTTTTGAAAGATATCCGCCATAAAAGACAATCGGAACAACCAAGTTTTATCATACAAACGGTCCTTCAAATTAAAAGAAGTATCTGCTGAAAGAAACATTTGTAACTCGGCTCTAAGTTCAAATAGCCTTGTTAAAGTTTTTCCCCGAGACAGCCATCGCACTTCTGTATGGAGCAGCAGTGTTTTATGTTTGCTGCCATAATCTTCACACAATAATGAGAACAATCGGGATTGTAGTGGTCGTGATTTGATAAAATTAATTATTTTTACCGCTTCATCCATAACTAATTTTAGATTAGACGGCATTTGCTTCATCGCAAGTGCTTGTCTATGCAGAATACAATGACTGGAACTACAATTAGGCGCTTTATTTTTCATTCGTGACACTGCTCCTGCTGTTTTACCTGTCATCGCCTTGGCCCCATCTGTACAAATGTCAATGCAATTGTTCCAACTGAGATTATGTTCTTCAAAAAATATATTTATTTTATTAAAAATTTCTTCCCCGGTAGTGTTTGTAAGCAGCGATGAACACATAAGCATGTCTTCTTCAAAAGAACTTTTATATGGATATCTCACAATAACCAGCAGGATAGCCAAACCAGCGACATCAGTCGACTCGTCCATTTGCAAAGCGAATCGTGTATTTTGTAGACGTGTAACTAGTTCTTGTTTGACGTAGCTTGCCAGATCATGGATTCGTCGTGAAACAGTATCGTTTGATAGCGGAACAGTAGAAAGATGCTTTGCAGATTTTTCATCAAGCATACATTTTGTTATGTCTAATACACATGGTTTTATTAATTTCTCAGCGATAGTGTGCGCTTCACCTGCTTGTGCAATGCGATAGCTAACTAAGTATGATGCCTCCGTGGCCTTTTCGTTGGTAGTTTGTGTTACATGCATCATATTTTTTTGACTTTCTAATAACTGATCTTTTTTGCGAACAAAAAATTCTTTATTCTTGTCTTTAGTCTCGGGGTGTACGGTTTCTAAATGTCGACGCAATTTGGCAGGTGCCATGGAACTATTAGGAAGCAGTTTACTACAGAGCATGCAGAGAGGTGAGCCGTTGGAATCAACAAATCCGAAACTGATATAAGATTCATCATACTTCCTTTTTTTCGTCTTTGAAACCGTCGAGCTTGACGTCGTGGCACTCGTGGCATCATCTTCTGGATCGGTGATTGCTAAATTCTCCGCGCGCATTGCTTTTGAACATTCAGCGTCATTAGAAGATGTTGTTGGAACACGTTTAACACCTTTAAGCCAACGTTCCATTCTTCTTTATTTATAATGTTACAAGTCAGGATAGTGGGGTTTAAATAATGCACAATCGTTACTGCGTATAAGAGACTAAATTTAGAACCTACAGGGAAGAAATGTATAAAACTGAGACAACAGAATACAGCAGGCAGTAAAACAATGAACACCAGTTTCTCGCTAGCGAGCTTGTAAGTAGGTAGTAACTTATCGCTCCGAACGCTAATCATCAACTGACGACGCCAACGCGCGATCGCCGCTTTTATACTTAGTCCTAGACTCGATCTCAAATATTCTCGAAAATACTCGAGTCGGCACCTTTGATAAACAAAAAGCAAAAATAAAAACAGAAATTTAAAAATAGCGTTGTAAACAATATCGACTTTATCCTTTGAAGTTAGAGACGAAAGTCGCTAGTTGACAACTATAGCGTCTAATTCAGAGGCGGCTTTTATCAAAGAGACTGAGCGCTTACAAGTATACTACCCGCTCGTTTTAAGTTTGCCGCTGGCGATAGGTATGAGTGTATGACGTTCGAAATTTTTTATTTAATTGTAACAATAAAAATTGTGTACGTTAGATATTTGGGTAAAACTATGACACATTATAAGTTTTGTTGTCACGTGGGGGAGGGTACGCGCATTCCACAGACCGGCAAACTTAGAGCGAACGCGTTGTACAAGTATAAAATTGTTGAGACCAAACTTATGAGATATTGTACCAGCTAATGTAACACAAGCTTATACAAATACAAATAAATAAATAAATAACATTCATAGCGTTTTGTCTCCGCGCGGCCGCGGAGTCCGCACAGCCGCGGAGCGACCAGAGAGAGGTGTTTTGATTTTTTTATTTCTAAATTCTTGCGGAACCCCGACAGAGGTATCACGGAACCCTAGGGTTCCGCGGAACACACTTAGAGTATAGCTGGTTTAGAGACTTGCATAGTGAAATACAGTGTTTAGTGAGTGTTTTGTAATTAACATTGTGTGTTAATTGCGTGAACTGTGTGGTGAATAAAGAACTGTCAAACGTGAACTGGCATATAATTTCGAACCCCATCCCGACACGTAACAGTATATATTTCTTTAAAAGTAACATTAACTCTGTTCTTACCATCCCATACAGCGAGTGCGACGTCATCAGTGGGGTCGAGCCACCATATCGGTGGGTTAACGGGCGTGCCCTTCTCTATAGACGCTGTCATGGCGGCGACTATTTCATCGGCGTAGTCGGCGTGCAGATGTGTGAACTTCCTGCTGATCTCGACAGCCTGGAAAGAGGTTTAAGCCAGAAACATATTAACGTGTCGTGTCGTGTCGTGACGCGCCAGAATCACATCGGTTTTATACATTTACTATATTTAGTAACATATTTACGTCTCTCTCTCTCTTTCTAACCCAAAATAAATGTATGAAACCGATGTGTCACGACACGCCACGACACATTAATATGTTTCTGGCTTTATTTGTTAGCAGACCCGTCTTTCCCAGTGGGCACTTTGGGCAAGTACCCAGGGCCCCGCGATCGATAGGGGGCCCCCTCAGATCAAAAACAAAATCACCAAACGGAAGTCATAGGAACCCCATTATCCTAATATGCCCAGGGCCTCCAATAGGTCAGAGACGGCACTGCTTGTTAGTATAATACTTGATAAGGTAACAAAGAGACAGAGGAGCCAGTTAATTGAGAAAAAATGTTTTAACAAGAAATGAAATTTATTTCACGCTACAACGATCGCGATAAAAGACTTAGGTAATTGTTATTGGAAGAATATGCATTATGATAATTAAAGTCAGTTAACATAATACCGAATCTTAACTCAAAAAGTGAGCGCCCATAGCTTATATTAATATAGGTACTTAAAATTTACTTAGAACTATTGTAAGATGTAAGTGATGATAAGCTGATAATCTGACACTTAGGCCAGTATTATAGAAAAGATTCTCAGTAACGAATCTAGTCTTGAGCATAGATAGAAAGGGATGTCGCTATATAAAGCACATAGCGACATCCCTTTCTAACTGTACTCAAGTAAAGATCAACACTTAGTTGTCATTCTGTAATACAGGCCTAAATATCCGAACAATCACAGATCCTTTCAATTAATATTTCAACACCCTTTTGCAATGCTAAACCGTTTGTCTCAAGCGGATCCTCCATGAAAGATGCGTGTAAAGGGAATATTATATTACCTCTTCGTCGTGGTCCCAAGGCACAAAGGAGTATTGCAGCGTCGGCATGAACACGTTAGCTTGGAGCCACCTCACGAACAACTCCTTGCTGGGCTTCTCATTGTATCCGTTTCCGCCGATCATGTCGGGCAGCACCAGCGTGTAACCATTCAAGTTCATAGCCAGCAACGTTGTGACCAGGGTCGCTAGTCCGTTGTTGAAATCCCATAATGTGTCTTTGTCGACCATACGAATGAACACCGGAAGGTCTTGGGTTCTGCGAAGATAAGATTATGTGAGGAATACCGAAAAGAATATTGGAAGAAATCATTGGATAAGGATACGAATATTCTTGATAATATTGCTTTTAATCAAGGTGTTTAAGCTTATGCTATGTGATGTGTAAAAACGATCTTCTTGCCAATGTTCATCATCTATCAGATAGGCATGTGTCTCAACAAAAGTTAACCATCATCGTTGTTAAAACCCAAAAAAGAGAAACTGCTGTGAAACTAGATTTACCTCATTCCGGATCTCACTTCGATCATGGGGCCAAATTTAGCTACGGTCCTTACGTAAGCCTCCACAATGTTTCCAGGGTGTAATTCGATGGGACCATTCTGCACTGGAATCTAGAAAAGACAAAATTGAAATTAAACTTAGCAGGTACCGTTGACTGTTAAAGTTATGGTTTTCTTACAGCATGGAAGGAAAGCTAAGGAAAGCTGAGAAGCTTTCCAAGCTTTCCTTTTTGGAGACAACTTGCTTCTGTTTCGGATGTGGAGTGGTTATAGGGAGGGAGGAGTGGTTATATCTGGAGAGCGATAGCCCCAGTATTGCAAGCGTTTTCAGATTGTTCAACCTGCAAGCGGACTAAATGTCTATTCGCCACCTTTTATTTTAAAAACGCATATATACCTGAGGCGACCAGCTCGATTCTCCCGCGTCGAACTTGACGCTGTCGATGTCGTATGTCTGGATAAGTTCAGTGACCCTCGAGCTGAACCAGTCGGCCGCCTCGGGGTTGGTGAAGTCGATGTACCCGGGCACTGAGCCGTTGTTGTTCCACCACGACGTGTCCGGGCTGCCTTCCTCGTTGAGGACTAGATATCTATCAACAATAAAAATATATGATCCCTGATCTTCAATTTCGTTTTAAAACAAGTTTATATTATTCATGACAAGATTTTTTTTAAACAGATACAATGTTAACTAGAATGAGTCAGGAGATTCTAATATCGTGCTCATGAAGGTAAAATTAAAACTTAGTCTGTTAGGTAACTACTTTTTCTTTAGCCCATTTGTATTTTCTGAATAATTATATTTTTTAAACTTACCCCTTCTCCAATGCAAATGAGTACCAAGGTTCGCAGTCCTTGTTGATAAACGGGTGAACCCAGATGGATACTCTGAAGCCCAAACCCTTAATGTCTTGGATCAGCTTCTTGAAGTCTGGCAACTTCCTCTCGTCTACTGTCAAAGAGCCGTAACAAATCTCCCACAGATCGTCGATTTCGAATTGAGCATTAGGGAATCCGCTGTCGTTTATTTCATTAGCAAAAGCCCAGAGGCTATCCTGGTCGATTTCACGGGAATATCTCGCCCAAGTGGACCAAACTGGATATTGGATCATTCTGTAGTCCGGTAAACCAGTAGGTCTGCCCAAGTAAGTGTCTACAGCATGTTGGTGTGCTATCTTTGCATTGTCGAAGAACCAGACGTCGTATTTGAGTTCGTTGTGGGTGCGCCTGCTGGAGTAAGGAGCTGCGACTTCTGCGATGAAACATATGTGATCGTCGAGCACCGTGTTGTAGTCTACGAACAGTGGCACCTCAGGGTGGACGTAGAAGTAGAAACCTCCGGAGTTGAGCCAGTATCTCTCGGAGACGGCGGCGTTGTCGTCCTCCTTGGAGATGACGGAGTATTTGTCGAGTTTGCTGTTCTGTAGCGGCCAATACTGTTGCTTCTGCTCTGGTCCTCCATACCACTCTCTATTTCCTGGTAAAATGTGTCGCCATGAAAGTACAAACATTTATTTGAAAACTTTGTTGTAATTAATGTACTTTGTCATAGAAGTAACTGGGGAAAGTTCAACATGAATTGGACTAAAAATAGGAAATCCTTAAGCAAGTGACCATCTGCAACACTTACTGAATCCCATGCAGTCTTCAAATACTTTGTCAGCGGGTCCTTGCCAGTGTATGGAGACCTTCCACCCACCGCTGGGATGGTCGAAGCTCGCGTTCATGTTGAAGGTCACCTCGGGGTCGTCGACGGGAGATTTTCGGCCGAGGTTACCCAGCACCCAGGGAAGTACCATAGGTCCATGGTCAGCTAAGAAATAATAGAAAGATTTTTTGATAACGTTTATCCTACAATTGACGACTCTGTATATAATACAGGGAGAAAAAAACAGCCCTTGCTGAGTTTCTTGCCGGTTCTTCTCAGTACAAGGTCTCCCGCCGTAGATTTGCGAACCGATGGCGTAGCTTTTCGACATTCACAAGTGCTTGTAACAGCCTAGACTGAATAAACGATATTGAATTTTGAATTTTTTACATAGATAGATTATAAGTTTAGAAGAATAAAAAACTAAGTAAGTAAACTTAGGCTTACATGTTTAGAAGATCATTACACTCTCATTAGAATCCGATGGGGTGGATAAGATTGGAGGTCGAAGTCATATAAAATGTGTTTATTTAATGAGGGATCAGTCATTATTATAATAGACCCATTATAAAAGAGTAACTTACAAATTTTATGCTTTGAGGAACTTTTCTTGAATATAAAGTAGAACCGATCGCCACGTGGACAGCAAATGGTCAAGCAAAAAAAAAAAACGAGGAGCTCGATGGCGCAAGTGGTCAGCGCGTTCGGCTACGATCTTTGAAGTTAAGCAACTTTCGCAGTGGTCGGTCATTGGATGGGTGACCAAAAATTTACTCCGTGCTTCAGAAGGCACGTTAAGCCGTTGGTCCCGGCTGCATCTGCAGTCTTCCGCACTCACCAACCCGCACTGGGCCCGCGTGGTGGGTCATGGCCGAATCTTCCTATTCCATCCATAGGGAAGACCTGTGCCCCAGCAGTAGGGACATTATTAGGCTGATGATGAAAAAAAAGGGTCCTAATAGTTGCATTTCATCATCATCATCGACCCATGCTCCACATCGTCCACTGCAGGACAAGGGTCTCCCCTAATGCACGCCACTGCTCCCGTTTTTCTGCCACTCCCATCCAGCCCACTCCAGCCAGCCTACGAATTTCATCGTCCCATCTTGTCTCAGGGCGTCCCACACTACATTTGCATTTGCAAACCACTAACTAATTTTATAGCTAATAACGGGATTGTAACCATGTACCTTGTTTTTTATGAGTCTCGAGATACGAGAATAGTGAGAAAGTGACCAATGGTAGGGGTATCGAGCGCAGTAAAAGACGACGTCAGAGGGTAGACCGATATGTCTGCCAATAACATCTACCCGCAATTACTTCAGTTACTCCGTGATCATGGCGCTTGCAACAGTGCCGAAATATCGGAGACTCATAAAAAAAAATGTGTGCGTGTACTAGTGTACACACGTAAGAAGTGAAACTTCTTTATGGCCTTATTTTTCGAAAAATGATCTACATGCAACTTTCCAGAAATTGGTTAAATAAAGTTAAATTAGATAAAGTTTAAACAAAAGGATTTTATTATCATAGACATGAATACAAATTACTGCCTATGAAACTGTTATGATTACACGGCTCAGTAATCTAAGGCACATGTTCCACCTCCAACGATGAACGATAAGCGAGTAGAAACTAGAAACGAATTGGCAGTCCTGAGTTAAAATGCACGCGCACGGCTTTTGACAGCCAAGCCAGCTTAACCGAGCGAGTGTAGCTGAGCGAGTATCGCTGAGCTAGTATCGCTCAGCGAGTATCGCTGAGCGAAAATCGCTGAGCGTGTATCGCTGAGCGAGTATCGCTGAGCGAGTATCGCTGAGCGAGTACCGCTGAGCGAGTACCGCTGAGCGAGTATCGCTATGCGAGTTTGGCTGAGCGAGTCTTATCTTTAATAACTATTGTCACTCAGCTACAAACGAGTAGAGAGAGTTCTCGCCGGCGACAGTGTGATCATTCAGCTATCAACTATTAATATAAAAAAAGATGGCGCGTAACGGAAAAATGTGACGCGTAACCGAAAAATGTGACGGTAATTTTTTTTCCAACGCCGATAAAGAAGTTTCACTTCAACAAGGTACATGGTAACAATCCCGTTAATAGCTATAATGTTAGTGACCATGAAAGTTTAAAACAATATATTACTAACTAATTAATTACAGTTCCATACTCACTTGTGACCACGACAAGGTCGAAGCCTCCATCTTTGCGCTTTTCCACGTAGACGTCTCTCGTCGTAGGCGCATTGGGCTTGGGTACGGCGCCTACCGCCATAGTCAAACCTTTGGATAAGATATGATACATTCATTATTTTACTGCCATAATAATTAAGGACCAAACGAACTTATCTGAAGTGAAGTTCGATCCAAATTATATTTCGCAGCTTTATTCCTTGCGATTTATGCTTACATGTTGTAGTGGCGCCCCCAAGCGTCACCCTTGCACGGACGTTTAAAGATTTTCCTTTTATTTTTCTCAATGGTATCATTAAAAAAAAATGTGTGTGTCAGCTCCGACGCACGACTGGAGTTTACTCCTTAAGTTCGATAGTCTAACCAGACGCAAAAAGAGTTTATTTAACTTAAAAAAGATTGATACTGTATGAAAGGGTAAATTAACAAATTAATGAAAATAATATACATATATAAATATATATTTATTCATTTCATATACATTTATTATAAGTAATCGACGAAATATTTTACATTAAACTTTTTACAATAGTCAATTTCAGATGTGCATAAATATATCATTAGGAATGTTGATAAATTATGTAATTATTATTATCAGACTATTATCATTTTTTTAAATATTAATTAAATCAACATTGTCTGCATTATTAATTACAGTGACAAGTGGTTTATGGTAACTAAAATAAGACACATGGACGTTCGTAGATACGTGGTTCACGAATCTTGAAAATACCACATCAATGGTTGTACCATACCTCGTTATCCCCATTGCTCTATCAGAAACAATATCTAAATTCAGTTAAGATTTTAAAATTTTTATTAATGTCAATCCGTCATCTTTGTTTGTCAAAGTTGCGCGACATAGGATGCGCACCAAAAACGAGTAACGAGGTCATTCATGGATAGATTTTACTCCTCACATTTTTCTCATACCGGGCCCCTTATATATGCAAATCGATTCTTAAGGAGTAAACTCCAAAAATTAAAAGGAAACTAAACGTCAAATTTACCCGGCAAATCTCGAGACCGTTGCTAGCTCATATTGTTTATAGCTGAACCTGTAACCTCTTTTCGTATTTTATATTTATATATAGGGTTAGGGAGTATTATATAGGGTGGGATGTTATAAATATAAATCGCAAAGAATGAAGCTGCGAAATATAATGTCCCTTTATGGCTTCTATGGATAGAAGTCGTATACCATGACAATAGCGGTGGCTAGGATTACCAACTTTTTATTTATAAAATATAGTTATTTCGAAGCTGTTACCTTTAAAAATATAGTAGATTACAAAAAATTGGAAAAAATATAGTATGTAGTTAAAATATTTACTTTATTTTTTAAGCGAGTATATTTTTGCTGTTCTATACCTTAATACTTCAGTTTTTATTTTAAGAAAGCTTTTACAGCCAAAAGTCTGCTTTAAGCAAAATATAGTAATTTCGCCTTCTATCTCTTATATGTAATAAAACTAGTTTTACGGGTTAATGCACGAAACTTTATTTAGACGTTTCGTAGCCTTTACAGGCTTCGTCGTCAGAATAATAATAATAATAAATATTTCCGACACTCACACCAATTAGCCTAGCCCCAAAGTAAGCACTAAGGCTTGTGTTATGGGATGCTAGGGTAACGGATAGAATACATATACTGTACATATATAAGTATATTTATATAAATACATACATATTAAACATCCATGACTGGAGTACAAATGCTCGTATTCATCACACAAATATCTGCCCCCACCGGGATTCGAACCCGGGACCTCTCGAGTCCGCGACAGCCATGAAACCCGGCGTACAAACCACTCGGCCACGGAGGTCGTCGTCGAGAATAAAAACGTCGTCGTAAAAACTAGTTTTATTTAATGAGTGATGTGCGTGAAAACATTAGAAACAAATATATATATATATATATATATGTATTTAGAAATATAGTATTTGATCCCATAATATAGTAGGGTACTATATTATATAGTAGGGTTGACAACCTTAGCGGTGGCTGACATTACGCTAATTATTACGTAATTTACACGGAACAAAAATTAATAACCTCCCCAACAAATAAAAATTAACATCCGTCCAGATAGACGGCGTCCACTCCTCGATCACACGGCGGCATCGCGGTCGCCGCGCGAGCGTTGCGCAGTAAGTTACTCACAAAGAATTTCAACGTTAAGTCCTACTTAATAAAACATAAATCTGCTATGACTGAACAGTTGTTACTGAACAGCGCGGTGACCGCGCGGCCGCCGTACTGTCACCGCGCGGCCGCCACGCTGTGACATTCTGTGCCATATAAACGCGCCCCTAGTCTTCAGCAGACTTATTTTTCTTCGCATGTAGTGCACTTAATTGTAAATCATTTTACAAAAACCGAGAAATTATTTTATCCCCATTTTATTTTAATAATTATTATAATTTAATTAACAAAAATAACTACTTATTAAATTGCAATTGGCAAGTTCATTTATGTAATTTTTGTTGACAAAGCAAATATATTGTCACTAAATGCTCTCGAACCAAAACTGCGAACCCGCGAACATACTGCGAACAGATTTAACCAGAGCGCCGCGGGTCGAGGCCGAATGGTGCGGTTCATTCTAATATGAGCCTTATGCAGTGCGCCGTAAGGGTGAAAGTGCAACGCATCTGTACTTTTTTAGAACTCATGCGCGTAACCTACTTATAAGTAGTACTACTTGCTAATTAACTCTCAATGAAACTGGTTTCTGGAATAGGGGGGTATAAAAGGGCGCTCGGCGCCACGCATTAGACTGTTCCCCCACGACAACGGCTAACTAGAACCGAGGTCCGAGTCTCAGAGACGCCCTCTAGTTGAGCCGACCTCCTCAGGTTCGAGTGGTCTAGAGCAGCTATACTCTAAGTGTGTTCCGCGGAACCCTAGGGTTCCGTGATACCTCTGTCGGGGTTCCGCAAGAATTTAGAAATAAAAAAATCAAAACACCTCTCTCTGGTCGCTCCGCGGCTGTGCGGACTCCGCGGCCGCGCGGAGACAAAACGCTATGAATGTTATTTATTTATTTATTTGTATTTGTATAAGCTTGTGTTACATTAGCTGGTACAATATCTCATAAGTTTGGTCTCAACAATTTTATACTTGTACAACGCGTTCGCTCTAAGTTTGCCGGTCTGTGGAATGCGCGTACCCTCCCCCACGTGACAACAAAACTTATAATGTGTCATAGTTTTACCCAAATATCTAACGTACACAATTTTTATTGTTACAATTAAATAAAAAATTTCGAACGTCATACACTCATACCTATCGCCAGCGGCAAACTTAAAACGAGCGGGTAGGTATACTTGTAAGCGCTCAGTCTCTTTGATAAAAGCCGCCTCTGAATTAGACGCTATAGTTGTCAACTAGCGACTTTCGTCTCTAACTTCAAAGGATAAAGTCGATATTGTTTACAACGCTATTTTTAAATTTCTGTTTTTATTTTTGCTTTTTGTTTATCAAAGGTGCCGACTCGAGTATTTTCGAGAATATTTGAGATCGAGTCTAGGACTAAGTATAAAAGCGGCGATCGCGCGTTGGCGTCGTCAGTTGATGATTAGCGTTCGGAGCGATAAGTTACTACCTACTTACAAGCTCGCTAGCGAGAAACTGGTGTTCATTGTTTTACTGCCTGCTGTATTCTGTTGTCTCAGTTTTATACATTTCTTCCCTGTAGGTTCTAAATTTAGTCTCTTATACGCAGTAACGATTGTGCATTATTTAAACCCCACTATCCTGACTTGTAACATTATAAATAAAGAAGAATGGAACGTTGGCTTAAAGGTGTTAAACGTGTTCCAACAACATCTTCTAATGACGCTGAATGTTCAAAAGCAATGCGCGCGGAGAATTTAGCAATCACCGATCCAGAAGATGATGCCACGAGTGCCACGACGTCAAGCTCGACGGTTTCAAAGACGAAAAAAAGGAAGTATGATGAATCTTATATCAGTTTCGGATTTGTTGATTCCAACGGCTCACCTCTCTGCATGCTCTGTAGTAAACTGCTTCCTAATAGTTCCATGGCACCTGCCAAATTGCGTCGACATTTAGAAACCGTACACCCCGAGACTAAAGACAAGAATAAAGAATTTTTTGTTCGCAAAAAAGATCAGTTATTAGAAAGTCAAAAAAATATGATGCATGTAACACAAACTACCAACGAAAAGGCCACGGAGGCATCATACTTAGTTAGCTATCGCATTGCACAAGCAGGTGAAGCGCACACTATCGCTGAGAAATTAATAAAACCATGTGTATTAGACATAACAAAATGTATGCTTGATGAAAAATCTGCAAAGCATCTTTCTACTGTTCCGCTATCAAACGATACTGTTTCACGACGAATCCATGATCTGGCAAGCTACGTCAAACAAGAACTAGTTACACGTCTACAAAATACACGATTCGCTTTGCAAATGGACGAGTCGACTGATGTCGCTGGTTTGGCTATCCTGCTGGTTATTGTGAGATATCCATATAAAAGTTCTTTTGAAGAAGACATGCTTATGTGTTCATCGCTGCTTACAAACACTACCGGGGAAGAAATTTTTAATAAAATAAATATATTTTTTGAAGAACATAATCTCAGTTGGAACAATTGCATTGACATTTGTACAGATGGGGCCAAGGCGATGACAGGTAAAACAGCAGGAGCAGTGTCACGAATGAAAAATAAAGCGCCTAATTGTAGTTCCAGTCATTGTATTCTGCATAGACAAGCACTTGCGATGAAGCAAATGCCGTCTAATCTAAAATTAGTTATGGATGAAGCGGTAAAAATAATTAATTTTATCAAATCACGACCACTACAATCCCGATTGTTCTCATTATTGTGTGAAGATTATGGCAGCAAACATAAAACACTGCTGCTCCATACAGAAGTGCGATGGCTGTCTCGGGGAAAAACTTTAACAAGGCTATTTGAACTTAGAGCCGAGTTACAAATGTTTCTTTCAGCAGATACTTCTTTTAATTTGAAGGACCGTTTGTATGATAAAACTTGGTTGTTCCGATTGTCTTTTATGGCGGATATCTTTCAAAAACTTAACGAATTAAATTTATCATTGCAAGGTAAACAGACAACAGTGTTTCAGGCCTATAATAAAATAACTACTTTTAAAAGAAAATTAGATTTTTGGATCATTTGCATTGGTAAGAAAGAAATAGAAAGTTTTACGTTACTCACTGAGTTTGTTAGCGAAAACGACTCAGAAATGTTTGAAGATAATGTGTTTGAAGAATTGGTCCAATATCTCAGTTCGATGCGCGCATCTTTTGAAAAGTATTTTCCCGAAGAACACAATACAAAAATTAAAGTGAACTCCTGGATTCATAATCCTTTTTTACCCAACTTGGAAAAGCCTGAAAACATGTCAAATGAGATATATGAATCTCTTTTAGAAATGTCATCAGACACAAGTATGGAGTCATTGTTCAAAACGACGCCTCTTAATGATTTTTGGTGCAGAATCCAAGATGAATATGCAATGCTTGGCCAAATGGCTCTGGATATTCTTCTCCCGTTCCCAACTACATATTTGTGCGAAACAGGATTCTCTACCTACGCAGCCACGAAAACAAAATATCGCAATAGACTGGACGCCGAAGCTGATATGAGACTCCAACTTTCTTCCATCAAACCTGATATCAAGCAATTGATGAAAAATAAAAAACAGTTTCATACCTCCCACTAGTTAGATTTTTTCTTTTTTAATGTTTTCTATTATTGTCCTTACCAAGTGGTGAAGTAAATAATAATTAGTAACGGATACATTGTACTTTTATTATGCTGATTAATATAGAATACACTTATAAAAATAATTGTTTTATTGTAGGGTTCCATCAAGTATTTTGCTTCCCAAAAGGGTTCCGTCATTTAAAAAGTTTGAGAACCACTGGTCTAGAGGCTCCAGACGGAAAGGAGGCTCTCACCGTGGGGAGATATCATCCGCCTGGAATATCTCTAGAGGCACTTGCCAATTCTCCGCTTGAGGTCGCCGTCCCCAAACCCGGTGACGCTGTAAAGGTCATCTGCGACCAACAACATGCACACTCAAAAAAAAGCATATAGCATTAAGGTAAGGCGATCGCTTCCGATGTAGCCTTAGAGAACTTCCAGGCCAGAGACAGCCCCTACGGGTGTTTTTTAGTCAGTACGAATCTGACATAACCTTGCAGCCGGCCCCGCCTGGGAGAAAACAAAAAAAAAACACGCGCATTAGTTGAGTTTCAACCTTAGATTAAAACAAAAAGGGTAGATACGGTACGCTCATACCTACTTGCATCAAACAAAAACTGATCCCACTGCATTACCGACCCGAACGAAACAGCACGTTAAGTTTCAACGGCAGCGCGAACGAGACGGCGAGATCCGCGTCACTGAACTACCGACCAATCACGCGACCAGTACTCGACGTCACTATCGAATAAGATTCAAAACAAACAACATTTTTTATGAAATAATATAATTTGTACTTACGAATGAAAAGTGATGCTGTGGGTTTTATTTTTAGTTCTTGAGCAATTTGAGCGCTTTTTAAAAACACACTTAGGCATTATTTTACCATATAAACACAAAATATTAGCAATATATCTTTTTGGCGTTCACATACATGTACGTCGTTTGCATGTCAAGTTGTGACTAAAGCGATTAGGGTCGTGGACCACAATTGGTGCGGATCACTTTAGTGAGGCTAGTGCCGTATCTACCCTTTTTGTTTTAATCTAAGGTTTCATCAGCGATATCGAACTTTTTGGCGGGATCGTGGAGCGTCACTTTAGCAGCTTTGTTTTTCTTGTTAAAAATTGTGTTGTGGCGGATGTTAGTGTCTAATAATGGTGGATTATTAACCACTAAGTGTTCGGGAACATGCACAAGTCTTGGCAAGTGAAACAAAATAACGGAAAGTGTCTTTCGACGTTCCCTCAAGAAGTCCACGGGGAGGTTTCAGTAAATCCCCACACTTTTACTGAAACATGGGGAAAGGGGGATTGACTTGACTGCCACTTACTTTGACCACGAGTGCTATAGTATTTGTATACCTACATTTAACACTTGACATTGGCTAAATGCACAAGCCGTGCGAAGCCATATAGAAAAAGAAAGTGCGATTGTTTAAAGACTTGTTTAAGTGACTTAGTATTGTGTGTTTAAGAAAGAACTGTGAATTATGTGGTGAATAAAGAATTGTCAAGCGTGAACTGGCATATAATTTCGAACCCCATTTCGACCTGTAACAATATTGTATTCAATAGGTAACTAAAGCAGTGATAGTAATTCCGTTCATCTGTCATAAAATATCTACAATTATTATTGTAGGTATAGAATTTCAAGAAAATCAATCAGAAATTGGTATAGTAATTTCACTTCGATTTTACGAATATCGGGCATGAGTGGACTGATTGACATTTTACGATGATTGAGAGGCATTACTTAGTAATCTGTGTGATTAAATAAACTAAGGAAGACAGACTAAAAATATCACGTTACTTAAGACAGAGTGGCCAGCATCCTTACGAAATTGTACAATTTACAAACACGATTTAAAATTAATCGGAGATGAATGTAAATAATAATGTTCATGTTATTGCATAAAAAAAGCTTTAAAATGGTTTTAGTGTTTCGTCGCTACCGGAAACCAAATACCACTTGAAAAGTCTCCTAATCTCCTTTAATCTGGAGACCGACAACCTGCCCATGAAATCCACGTATGTCCATAAATACGAAAACTTACTTGGCGCACGTATAGTCTCTCACGCCAATTCAAGCATACTATATGAATAAGCGCAATTCAAAAATTTTATAATTATGATTGAACTTCACTTCCTAGAAGTGTGTTATATAAATTGCACCACAAGCTGTATAGGACAACGCGGTGAACCAAACCATAGCGCGATATACAAAGTTAATAGCGCCATCTATCGAATAGTTAGAAAAAACGTGTGGGCTACCCCAGCCCGTAAAAATGCCCTGAATTTTTTCGTTCTCAAAATTATCGACCCTGGTCTATATCGATAGGTTAATAGTATATGTAGATGCGGTGCAGATTTACCGCCCGGTAAATAATTTTGGCGGTGCCCATATCCATACTAGTAACTATTAAGTAAAACTGTTGCAAACAGCTGATTTTGAATTGTCCCATTAAAATTGTAATTAACTATCAGCTTAATTGTAATTAATGTCATTCACAAGTTAATCACTAAGTAAATAAATGTTTAAAATTGTTATTACCCAATGTAAAGCAGACACAAACCAGTGTAACTATCAAAAATAAGAATATGGACCTTGTGGACACTACATTATTCTTAGGCATTACACTAGATTCGAAGCTTCAGTGGGACCCACATATAGAGAAATTGTCGAAGAGACTGAGCTCTCCAGCCTACGCAGTAATGAAGATACGCCGATTAACTAGCGTAGATACTGCTCGATTAGTTTATATTAGTTATTTTCATAGTGTGATGTCGTACGGTATTTTGCTGTAGACTCTTTAAGAGATTTTTTTTAAGAAATCGATATAATGATTGTTGCTTCTTAGTACATTTATGAAAATTTAATCTATGTTAGAAAAAATATTACATTGTTTCCTCTAAATAGTGATAAGCACGACGCTTGCGATACACAAAATATCACTCTCGCCATTGCCTACCCTGACCAAATCCCTTACACCTTGGAGCCCTGGAACCTTATTCACCGACAGAAACACAACGCCACCAAAAGGTACTGTTATTTTAGGCGTTGAGCAGACGACGGGCGGGGCGGGCATTTTGTCCGCGAAGCAATAAAGACCGCGTCTGCCCGTCGATGTCTGCGGCTGCCCGCGCCGCGTACACAAAGCACACGACTGGCAGAGGCAGTCAGTACGGGACGTTCGTTCTAGTGAATAGAAAAAGCGCTGGGCGCGGACTGAGCTTCCCGTTTGCGCCGCCGTCTGCGTTACTGCATATAAACTGGTTTGTATGATCCACGGCGGACAGCCGCGGACATGCCGCGCCGCCACTGCCCGCCGGGCACCCAATGCGCGGTCTTTTTGCCCTCCGTGTGCGTTTGAAGTATAGGATTCACTTTGTGCTATTATTCGCGGCGAAATTGACCGGCCCGCCCCGCCCCGTCGTCTGCTAAACGCCTAACTGTGGTCTTCTGTAATTCGAGCGGAAAATCCGTTGTGCCCTATCTACAAACCCGTCTTTCCCAGTGGGCACTTTGGGCAAGTGCCCAGGGGCCCCGCGATCGATAGGGGGCCACCTCAGATCAAATACAAAGTATCTAGTTCCTGTTAAATCACCAAACGGAAGTCATAGGGGCCCCATTATCCTAATATGCCCAGGGCCTCCAATAGGTCAAAGACGACACTGCCTACCTATCTTATGTAATTGTGATAAGGCCTACCTGCCAACAGCAGTAGCACCTTCATGTCGCCACGCGGGGTCACTGCGCGCGCGCACAGATCGCCTAACTATTTATCTCGTTGGCCTATCGACACATATCTCGCCCGCATTGCTAGATAAGATCGATATATCTGCAGGATTTCAAATGCTCGAGTAGCAAAATCTTGTACGGTACCTGTGAACTTTATTAGTTCCCCTGGATTCGCTTGTCGAATTTTGCTTACTTGCGTAGGTATCTGTGTAATGTAACTCTTGCTAACTGCTGCAGCGATTTTGATGAATTTTATTATGGATTGGCTTTGGAAGAAAGCCGTTAGTTACCTTATTGTCCTCACCCAGACGAACAGCTTACCACCAGCAGCACCAGCTACTTTCAAATAAAACGTATGTGTAGTTGTAATAGGGATGGGTAGATCGTATACGCGCTCGAATTGGAAAGCCTGCCTGTGGTAGAATTTGGGAGATATTTTTTTTATATATATAGCCAGATAGACAAATGACTCTACCCCACCTGATGTTAAGTGGTGATAAAGTCCAAACGCGAAGATAGCTGGTACAGCAGTTATAAACTGCCACACCAACCATCCTCACCTTGCCGGCCTGCAAAAATGCTTCTTTCCTTTTATTTTTATATTTACCTGTCTTATTCAACTAATCGGCTATACTATAGGTACTCTATTCACGTTTACGTGCTTGGATCTCAGAATAGTGTCCAGGGGACTGTCGATTGGCACTATCTACCCAAGTATGAAATGAAACGGATGCAAGCGGAAAAGTTACAGTTCGGCTCTGCTATCGTTCTATGTTTAGATACAGCTAAAAGCAAGGGTCTGTCTGTAGTGCTGGGTTCGTGTAAAGCCGGGTCTCCTGCGCCGTGTTTTCGTGTTTACTAACACTATAACATTGTTTGCTAACCGATTAGAGGCGTGGCCACAGTTTTGCTAACGGCGATTGGATAAAACTTGTTGATGTTTGATAACATGTTTACTTAGAAAATTGGGACAGGACACCCGGCTTAAAGTGTAAAGTTGCCAAAGCTCTGCGAGTGGGCGCAATGGGATCAGCCGGCCTATTCGCTACCTTTTTTGACATTTACAGAGTGTAACTAAAGAGAAAATTGCATATACATCGATACTTTTCAGAACAAGTATCTTAGTGGCGAAGGCGTTATATTAAAGCGGTAGAGGATCACTAAATAGCTCGGTGATTATCACTGCCATCTGTCAAAAGCAAGAAATAGGTATTTATAAAAATGTACGTAATATTAAATAAATATGTATGATTACGATTCCACAAACAATCACTATTTTAATTATTGTATAATATAAGGTAGGCTTTTTTTTCATACTGGATAAATACACGCGCAAATGCACACACAAACACACACACACGCACAAACAGAACATACACTTGCTAGTTTTTAAATATAAATAGAAATTTAAGCGTTATCCAGTGAACCCGAATTTCCTGATAAATGGCGGTAACGATCTTTTTTTTTTCTTTCTTTTGCTTTGTTATTGATTCAATATGGTTCTGTAACATTCAATGTAACATTTACATATTGTACTCTCGCTTATAATCGAGGGTAGATCACAATAAAAAATGTATTATGCAAAAGAATATTTGGCAAGCAAACGGGTTTTAAGAGGTTTTGAGCCTGGGGGTCGTAACACAGGTTTTGTAACCTAGTACAATCTCCAGCTCCCTCAAAGAACTGCATTGTTTTACCGTTATTGTAATTCAATACCCTTTTGTAATTATAATGTTACTTTGTGACTTTGTGTGAGAAATAAATATTTCATTCATTCATTCATTCATTCATTCAAAAGCAGTTAGCAAATAGGGCTACTGGTCACACACCCGCCCTCTCGGCACGCACTAGGGGGTAGGGGGACCGCGGTACCGTGCCGCGGTCCTCATAGTGCGTGTCGGGTGATGGTGCAGGAGTATTGTCAGGTTTTTAGTGGCCCTGTTCAGGGTGTTAGGTACGGCCTTGTTTATTTCATCCGGCCACAGGGCTGGCGGAAATGAACAGGGAGAAGTCCCATATACCTGCCTTCTTCTCGCTCCCCCAGTGGTTGAAGGATGCGTAAGGCATTTCTCAGACACAAAGAAAAAGGTATCCGTGAGCGGGTGTGGGTGATATATGGTTTATTGTTGTAACGTTCGAACTGGCATTTATTTTTTTACATAGATATACTTACATTCATTTGATAATTTTATGCAGTGTGATAAAAAAAAGTGTCTATGGGTGGCAGACGTTTGTCGGCTACAAGATAAGACGACCTCCACTCAAGTATTTTGTTTATTTATTTGTTATACAGGCACGAGCAAATTTAGTTAAGCTGCTGACGTGTATACCTAAGTGAGACACGGCCGTAAAACACGTTATTACTTAGATACGATCGTCTTTTACCATTAAATAAATGTTTGTTGTTATGTTTTTATTTTTAAAGCATTTAACTGCAAGATGTTTAAATCTAAAGGAAAGTTTAGTAGAAAAAATAATGTTTTATTTTATATTAAAATTAGTGGTTCAATCATCAGGTTCTTGATAATAAGGGTATTTAAAAATATAACATACCTTCTTCTTCTCTACCAACTTCTCTATCAACCCCTATAGCCCTATAGGATTATACATATGTCACCACAATACCTAGGGAAAGGGAAAGATGGGAGATCACATTCTGCCAGGGCCGGATTTGAAGGTGTGGGGGGTGGGGGACCCTATTTTCAAATCGGGAAAGCATTTTTGCGTGATTGAGTAAGAAACATAGAAACTTATACATTTATAATATTTGAAGGATAGGGCAAGGTAGGGCATAGCGGATAATTAGTAGATATTATAATGTAGATATAATAAGTAGTAGATATTAGCCCGTTTAGGAAGAAACCTCCACCTTTTGCAGAAGAACACAGTAAAATAACATTATTTTGAGATGGTGTTGTAGGCCAAAAGCTTGTTTGCCACTCTTTTAACAAAAAAAGTAACGGGTAGTAACAATGTGTTTTCTGCTTAGGTACTTTTATTGATTATTGTTGTTGTGCGAGGGCGCGAGTAGGTACCCAGATCGGGAAGTCTAAATATTGGGATAATATTTTAAAATACCGAGATTTGTGAGGACATCACATGAAATGGCAGAAGAGTCTGGCAACTCTTTGCGTGAGATTCCTGTTACAGGAAGCTCCGGCGCTGTAAGCGGCGAAAATCGCTACTAGATAAAGTACAATTATTCATTACACCCTTCGGTACAACAAAATAAGAAAATACTGAAGACTAGCTGACCCAGCGAACTTCGTACCGCCCTAAAAAAATAGGGGTTGTCCAGCGGACAAAATTGTGAATCTAAACCATTCTCAGATCCCCTTGAACACACACAAAATATTTCATCAAAATCGGTCCAGTCGTTTAAGAGAAGTTCAGTAACATACACACTCACAGAAGAATTATATATATAAAGACTGAAGATTAGTCTACATAACTTTTGTATTTTTGCCTTCTGTACATACACAGAGAAAATTATAATAAAATAACGATGACAGCTTGGTAGGGATGGATGTGGATGACTAATAGCAGCCTTAGGGTGCGGCCAGAGTGCACTCAGATTCAGATTCAGATTCTGAAAACAAGCACGAGAAATAAACAGTGTAGTCTAAGCAGGTTGCCTGCTTTTTCTCGCGCTTTGTTTTCTGAGTCTGAATCTGAATCAGGAGTGCATTTTGGCCGTACCCTTCGACTACACTGTTTATTTCTCGCGCTTGTTTTCGGAATCTGAATCTAAATCTGAGTGCACTCTGGCTGCACCCTTAGGGTACGGCCAAAATGCACTCCTGATTCAGATTCAGATTCAGACTCAGAAAACAAAGCGCGAGAAAAAGCAGGCAACCTGCTTAGACTACACTGTTTATTTCTCGCGCTTGTTTTCAGAATCTGAATCTGACTCTGAATCTGAGTGCACTCTGGCCGCACCCTTAGGGTGTTAGGTACGGCCTTGTTTATTTCATCCGGCCACAGGGCTGGCGGAAATAAACAGGGAGAAGTCCCATATACCTGCCTTCTTCTCGCTCCCCCAGTGGTTGAAGGATGCGTAAGGCATTTCTCAGACACAAAGAAAAAGGTATCCGTGAGCGGGTGTGGGTGATATATGGTTTATTGTTGTAACGTTCGAACTGGCATTTATTTTTTTACATAGATATACTTACATTCATTTGATAATTTTATGCAGTGTGATAAAAAAAAGTGTCTATGGGTGGCAGACGTTTGTCGGCTACAAGATAAGACGACCTCCACTCAAGTATTTTGTTTATTTATTTGTTATACAGGCACGAGCAAATTTAGTTAAGCTGCTGACGTGTATACCTAAGTGAGACACGGCCGTAAAACACGTTATTACTTAGATACGATCGTCTTTTACCATTAAATAAATGTTTGTTGTAATGTTTTTATTTTTAAAGCATTTAACTGCAAGATGTTTAAATCTAAAGGAAAGTTTACTAGAAAAAAAAAAATGTTTTATATTATATTAAAATTAGTGGTTCAATCATCAGGTTCTTGATAATAAGGGTATTTAAAAATATAACATACCTTCTTCTTCTCTACCAACTTCTCTACCAACCCCTATAGCCCTATAGGATTATACATATGTCACCACAATACCTAGGGAAAGGGAAAGATGGGAGATCACATTCTGACAGGGCCGGATTTGAAGGTGTGGGGGTGGGGGACCCTATTTTCAAATCGGGAAAGCATTTTTGCGTGATTGAGTAAGAAACATACAAACTTATACATTTATAATATTTGAAGGATAGGGCAAGGTAGGGCATAGCGGATAATTAGTAGATATTATAATGTAGATATAATAAGTAGTAGATATTAGCCCGTTTAGGAAGAAACCTCCACCTTTTGCAGAAGAACACAGTAAAATAACATTATTTTGAGATGGTGTTGTAGGCCAAAAGCTTGTTTGCCACTCTTTTAACAAAAAAAAGTAACGGGTAGTAACAATGTGTTTTCTGCTTAGGTACTTTTATTGATTATTGTTGTTGTGCGAGGGCGCGAGTAGGTACCCAGATCGGGAAGTCTAAATATTGGGATAATATTTTAAAATACCGAGATTTGTGAGGACATCACATGAAATGGCAGAAGAGTCTGGCAACTCTTTGCGTGAGATTCCTGTTACAGGAAGCTCCGGCGCTGTAAGCGGCGAAAATCGCTACTAGATAAAGTACAATTATTCATTACACCCTTCGGTACAACAAAATAAGAAAATACTGAAGACTAGCTGACCCAGCGAACTTCGTACCGCCCTAAAAAAATAGGGGTTGTCCAGCGGACAAAATTGTGAATCTAAACCATTCTCAGATCCCCTTGAACACACACAAAATATTTCATCAAAATCGGTCCAGTCGTTTAAGAGAAGTTCAGTAACATACACACTCACAGAAGAATTATATATATAAAGACTGAAGATTAGTCTACATAACTTTTGTATTTTTGCCTT